CGCCGCGCTGCACGGGTCCCACCGAGCCGTCGGAGCTGGCGGGGCTGAGCCAGGGGCCCGGGGGGCCCGGGTCGCCCCCGCTGCGCGCCAGCCGGCAGCTGAGCGGGGTGTCCAGGAAGTCGTCGTCGTCGTCGGTGGAGGAGGAGCCGGAGGCGGAACCTGCATGCCCCTGTTCTGGGCCGAGGCGGCCCCCGTCGCCCGCCTCGCCACGCAGGTCGCAGGCAAGGATGGCGGCCACGGCCTGCGTGCTGGGGCCCGCCAGGGCCGGCAGCGCCCTGGCCGCCGCCCCGCCGCCCGGCTCGGTGGGGGACGAAGCCCGCAGGCGCGGCCCGCGCCGGCGCCGGGCCGGGTTCTGGGCCGGCGTCAGCCCCTCCGCCTCCTGCCGCATCTTCTGGGAGCTGCTCAGCAGCGAGTCGTCCATGTCAAAGGTGGTGGGGGGCCGGGGCAGCAGCGCGGAGACCCGGCGGCGCTTTGACCCTGGCCGCGGCGTGGGTGGGGAGCGGTGCGGAGCTGGGTCTAGCGTTGGCCGAGGGAGGGGTCATGCCAGGTGTACGGGGAAACTCCACACACACACATCCTTACACCACCAGGAAGCTCACCTGAGGCGGCGCGGGGTGTGCCAGATGGAGCCAGCAAGCACTCCTTGGGCCTGGCGACGATGTACTTCTTCTCCAGGAGCCTGCGGCCCTTGGCGGCAGAGTGCTCCACCCACAGCGGGGTCACGACCGTGGGAGGGAGAGCGAACTGCGGCCAGGTGGACTGGAGATGTTCGAGACTCGTACAGCATGGAGGGCTCGGAAGCAGGGCGCTCGATCTCGACACTTTCCCCTAAAACAATACTCCCCCTTTACAACCCGCACCTTGTCCAGCTTGGTGTAAAGCTCCAGGAGGTCGGCATCCGGCTCGGCCCTCTTGGCAGAGGGGGGGACGTGCTTGCGCTCGAACACGACATGGGACACGTCCTTGCTCAGGCGCTGCACCACCCGGGCCCCATGCTCTCGCAGACGAGCCTGGATGGCCTGCCTGGCGTTCCTGACCGCGTCGGCGCAGCACACCAGGGCCACCACGTCCTCGAGCACGGACATGGCTACGACCACTCTTCTGCCATCGTCTCCCCTACAGAGCTCCAGACAGCATTAAATCAAAATTCGATGGTTGTAGTCCGCAATGCGGGATCCATAATCTGTCGTCAGCTCCGTCAGCTGACGGGACCTGGCAGCACGTCATTTGGATCGTGCCGGAGCAGATCGGAAGCATGCCGTCGCGCCCTGTTTTTGTACAAGGGGTGGCTGTGAGGGGTAACGCCCTCTTGCTTGCTCCACAGTGCACCCCGGGTGCTCACGGGCTTCCACCGCCTGGCTTCACAGCACACCACTGCACAGACCACTGTCAGGGCGGCACAGGCATGGGTGCTGGGCCTTGGGGGTGGGGTTTGCCCCCCTTCCAGACCACCGGCTCCCACCCAAACGCCTTGCCCCAGTTGTACAGCTCGTCCAGGGTCCAGGCCAGCGCTCCAGAGGCCTCGAGCCTCAAATATTCCTGCAGGCAGCGGGGTGAGTGTGTTGGCGTGAAAGGGACAGGCGTCAGGGCATGCAGTGCTCTGGATGCACTGCCGGCAGCGCCCACGCATCCTCCCACACCCTGTGCCGCACACACTTCTTTCTTTCCTCCCCCCCCTCCTCACACACATGCAAACCCAGCCCCTGCGTCCCCCATGCAGGCCCCACCTTGTACAGGCGCAGCGCGGTGTGCGCGTCCTCGATGGAGTCGTGGTTGCCGGACTGGATGGACGTCTTGAGCAGGTACGAGGCCAGGAAGCGCAGGCTCAGCTGACGCATCCTCGGCTTGTGGAACAGCCTCACCGTGTCCACGATCTGATGGGAGGCAGGTCGAGTGGGGGTTCGGTCAGGCGTGTGTTTGGCAGTGCGTCGCGAACAGGGGCGGCCAGCGGGTCCGGCCACGCAACCTCGACGTGGGGGTGCCATGCGCAGCAGAGCGCTCGGTGCCTCGGTCCCCGATGCAACGGCTCCCACCCGCACCTTGCAACACCCCCAAGCACCCACCCACCTGCTCCGAGGGCACCAGGATGTTGATCATGCGGAAGTCCTGCTTGAGGCCGTGCCCCACAAAGCGCACCCCCGAGTCCACCAGGTAGCGCAGCTTGAGGTACGCGCGGCGCAGCGTGGTCAGGCAGTGCGGCGAGCGTGCGGGGTCCAGGTCGCCGGGGACGATGCCGCTGAAGCGCGTGAGGTAGTCGTGCACCGCCTCCGGGCTGCGGATGTAGTCGTCGATGCAGGCGGTGCCCTCCAGCGCGCCCTCCCCGCGCACCACGCTCACCCGCGCCAGGCCCAGCCGGCTGGGCCGCGTGGTGACCTCCATGCCCCTGAAGCCAGGATGGAGTGGGGGGGAAGTCCAGGGGATGGAGAGGGGTCGGGAGGGGCGGTGCATCGACCCCCAAGAGCAGGGGGGTGTGGAGCGGTGTGCGGCGGCGTCCGGGCCGAAGGGACCCTGCACGAGGAGCTGGCCTTCGAGGAGCGCACCGTGGAGCTCCACTTCACCCCCGGCCAGCCACCCTCCCGCACCAAAGCACCGTCCAGCACCTGACCAGGCTGTACTGGGGCGGGCTGTAGGACACGAACTCGGCGTCCAGAGCCAGCAGCATGCCCGGCCGCGGCAGCTCGTCCGGCCCCAGCGGCAGGAAGGTCGGCGCCCGCAGGTTGGCTCGCAGACCCTGTTGCGGGTGGGGGATGGGCGGTGGTGAGATTGTGCGGGCGCAGTGGGGTTCTCACCAGCGCTGAGGTTTGGTGGCGCCTCTGGCGCGCACAGAGTGCATGCCGGTGGGCTCCGTTCGGTTGGCTCAGCCCTGCACCCCACCATCGGCCACTCCTCACTCCCCATCACCGCCATCGCCGCCATCACCCACCCACCAGGGGTGAGATGCGGCAGAGGGCCTGGAAGCCCAGCGAGGACAGCACCGGGGTGGGGCGCGTACCCAGCAGCCCCTCCTCCTCGTGCATTCGAGCCGCGCGCTCCTCGGCATCCACGGCCCGCCGCGTGTAGAAGAGCAGGCACGGCACCTTCTGGCCGTCGTACAGCTCCCCCGCCTCGGCCGCCGGCACGGGCTGGATGCTGAAGTCGTTGAAGAGCCACCAGTCTGATGGTGCGGGCGGGGCGGGTGGTGCAGGCGGGTGTGGAGTCGAGAGCCCAGCAGCGTCTGGGGGAGGGGGCCCAGGCGCCGCTGGCGCACCACCTTGCCCGCCGCCAGTGCCCTGCTTCCACGGAACCTGCAGACAAGACTGGGAGCAGCTGTGGGCCGACACCATGGCCGCAGGCCGGTGGACAACCACGTTCCCGTCCCCTTGGCTACCCTGATTGGCGGCTGGTGCACGCATGCATGGCCTGCAGATGTGGTGGATGGGCCAGAGAGGGCTTGCTGTCCACGCATCACACACGGGCCCCCTGCACTGACCTTGATGTGCGCCACCAGGTGACCTTCGTAGAGGTCCGTGCCCCATTCGAGCGACTCGTCGGCGTCACAGACGTGGGCCACCACCCCCGTCAGCTCGTACAGCATGCTGCGTGGGGAGGACGGGCAGGGAGCAGCATGCGCGTCGGTGCTTACAGACACGATGAGCGCCATCGCCAGGCCTCCGAGCAGGCCCAGGCGCGCACCTAGGACGGTGTCTGCCGCGCACATCGTCACCCGATTGTCCTGCCTCCCACCTATTCCCCTCGCTCCCTCAAAACCCCACCTGTCTGGCGCTGCCATGGCGTCCAGGTCGGCGCCCTGGCGCACCAGCAGGACCCCCTCCGGCTGCCCGTCACAGCTGAATGCCAGGACGGAAGGCAGGGGGCCCCCCGGCAAATCCTGCAACCCCTTCCACCATGCCAGCCTCTCCTTGGCCTGCGGCGGTGGTGCAGGGGATGGGACTGTGCATTCGCATCATCTGGGCACTGGAGGCATACACGTCCCTCCTGCCCGGCCTCCCAACCCTCCATCCTGCCGCAAGCCCCAACCTTGCCTTGGTCCCCACGTTGAATGTTCCCTCTCTTCTCCTCCCCCCCACCGATTCCCCGGCCCCTCCACTCCTCTCACTCTCTCCACACACAGACGCACACACTCCGTCCCTTCACACACCCCACCCCCCCACCCCTGCCGCCCCTGCCCCACCCAACCACCCTCACCCCGTCCCACTCACCACGTCCCCGCAGCTGATGATGAGCACGCGGGGCGGCACGGTGACCGTCCTGCGCTGGCGCACCGCCGTGTACTGCACCTCCGGGTCGAACCAGGCACGCATGTCGGCGGTGACGCTGAGCGAGGCCTGCACCGCGGCCGCCAGGTCGCTGCGACCGGCCCCTGCCGTGAGGTCCAGCTGGAAGCTGAGCGACTCGCGCGACTGCGACGGCCGGCCCGGCGGGTCCAGGCAGGCCAGCTGGGAGGCGACGCGCATGCCGAACACGGCCTGCACGGGCGAGGCGGGCGCCGGCCCGGGGCCTGGGCCCCGGCCCGGGGTGGCCTCGGGCCTCGGGGCCGCGCCGGCGCCGGCGCGGGGGCCCGTCGGCGCGCCGCCGCCCAGCTCGCGGTGCAGGGCCTCAAGGAGGAAGCGCGACAGCGCCTGCACCCTGCGTGCCAGGGACCGCTCCTTGGTGGCCTCCACCTCGATGTCGCCCGCGCCGCGCTCCCCCGCCACGCCCTCCACCAGGCCCAGGGCAAGGGCCTGCGGCGACTGGCGCAGCGCGCGCAGCAGGTTGGACGCCTGCAGGGTTTGGTTTGGTTGGGGGTTTGGGGTAGGTGGAAGGCTGATGGACCGGGGACCAGGGGGGAGGGTCTTCGCAGAGCTGGAGGGTGCCGGTCGGGGCTGGCAGCTGCATCTGTGAGCCTGATCAGCCTGCCCCACCCCGCAGGGCTGTGGTGACGTTCATCCACGCAGGTCACATGTGGTGGCACACCTGCGCCTGCTCAGACACACACACACGCGCCTTACCCCGCCCTCCACCCCCCACCAGCCTCCACCCCCGCCCCCCACCCGGCATACGACGGCGCCGCGCGTCTGCAGCATGCGGAAGAGCAGGGCCAGCTCCCCCGCCAGGCAGAACTCGTCGTTGGAGCGTGGGACGTGGCGCAGCAGCGCGGCGCGCACGCCGGGGACGAAGAAGAGCGCCTGGACCAGCGCGTTGCAGTAGGAGTTGGCCAGGTCGTTCTCCAGCCCGACAAAGGGCGAGGCGTTGCACGCCGAGTAGTCGTAGTCCTGGAACCAGGACTGCGCCGCCGCAGCCTGCTGGGTCGCCACCAGCACGCGCCGGTAGCGATCGGGCAGGACCACGCCGCCCTCAGCGGCGCGGCGCTGAGCGCGCTCCGCGCGCCGGGCCGCGACGTCGACTGGGACGCAGGCCGGCTGCGCGCGCTCGGCGCGCAGCCTGGCCGAGGCCGCCGCGGCGGTGCCCGGGGGGGCCGCGGGGTCGTAGAAGGGGTTGGGGATCACCCCCACGAAGTCGGACTGGGGATTGTGTGGGGGGGGGGGGGTGGGCACGAGTACGATGGGCGCAGTGGGGGAGGAGGTCGTCATGGGCGCGGTGCAAGGGTGCATCGGCGACCCGTGCACGCGTTCCCAGGGCAGAGAGAGCTGGCAGCATTCCAAACTGCAGTGCCCAAGCTCCCGGAAACGACCACAGCAGAATCCCAGCTGTCAGGGCAGGTGCACTCGGGGCGCCACACCACACCGCGCACAGGGACGCACGCCCTCCACCCTGCGTGCCAGCGCTGGCTGCCCCTGGTTCCACACCCGCCCACGCACCCATTTGATGAGGGGCTGGAGGGAGGGGTCCACGACCCTGGGCGCCAGGCCCACGCTGGCCCGCTCGCCAGGGTGCAGGGAGGAAAGCGGGCGCGGCCCCTCCAGGTTGTAGAAGAGCGGCGCGCGGGAGAGGGGGTCGCCCTCCCCCAGGCTCACCAGGGGAGCGGGGTTGCCCGCGGGCGGCGCGGGCACCTGGTGCGTGCGGAAGGAGGCATGAGTGAGAGTGCATCGGGCGTAGGTCCTGGGGATGGCGGCAGGGAGTCCGGGTGAAGAGTCTGACACCCGCGCACGCGCTGCGCCGGTGAGGGGCTGCAATCGCTGATCGCCCCACAAATGATGCCACGCCGTCCACCCACCCGGGCCCCTGCACATGACTCACCTCCGCGCCCCGGCCCGCCACGCTGGGCATGCTGCCCACGCCCAGCATGTGCACCCAGCCGCTCGCCGAGCCCAGGCCGATGCACTGGCCGGAGGGGCTGAAGTCCGCGCAGGTGATGCCCCCCGCGCCCTGCTCCAGGCCGGGCAGGCTCAGATGCGTCCCGGCCCCGTACCCGGCCGCGTCCAGGAGCGAGACGGCGCCGGAAGCGGACCCCGCCAGCAGCGTGGAGGGCAGGTGCGGGTGGAAGCGCAGGAAGACGGGGCCCGCGCCAAAGGGCAGCGTGCACAGCAGGCGGGGGGCCATCCGGATGTCAAACACCTGGCCCGGATTTGATGAATGTGTTTTGAAGCTCTTGCAGTGCATGCACCCTTCCCTCAGCACCGTCACGTCCCAAAGGGGAATGTCAGCACTCCATGACATCCGCATGGCCTTCTTGCCACTCTTAGTTAATCTTGTTTGACAACCCTCCCTCTCCACGTAAACATGCCCCACTGAGGACCCGTCCGGAACCCTCCCATACCTTGACGGCCCGCTCCAGGACCGGATGCCCGCCCCTGATCGAGTACCCCGCCGTGGCCACCAGGGAGCCTGCAGCATCCACGGCAGCAAAGCCGCCGACGTGAGCGGTCAGGGAGGTGCCTGGGCGCACGCTCCGGCTACGGCCGTCCATGACGAAGATCTTGCCGGCGGGAGAGGCCGCCAGGTAGCCACCCCCAGAGAGGGGGCCCCTCAGCGCCACCGCGCCCATGCCTTCTGTCTCCCACTGGGACAGGGAATGGGTGGGAGAGGTCAGTGGGCTGGCCAAAATGGCTGCAAGGCAACCGAAGCCTTGAAAAGAGCGTTTAGGGAAAGGCTGGCTGAACCACACCAGATAGCTTTATTCTCCTCATCGTGTACCTGGCCGGTGGACTTGCCAGATATGAGGTCGTACGCCACCAATCCCTTCTGGCCGCACCCGATGAGAATTTGGGTACCATTCCGGTACAGCTCCATGCAGGAGAAGGTGCCGTCCTGTGGTTGCGGCACGTGGGTTAAGAGGAGTGGATGTGCAGGCTTCAGCTTGCACTCTCTCAATGTGTCAGTCTCCGCTGGCCAGCAACCATCATGCAAATACTTACACCCCCACCCACGCTGGATCTGATGCTCTGTTGTATGGCGCCACCGGTCACATGGGCTAGCATCTCCTTGTTGGAGAGGCTGAGACAGCTGGCCCCCAGGGATCTGAGCTCCAGCACCTGGCTGGCATGAGCCCTGCTTGCACAAACCCTCTCCAAGCCTGGCACAGTGCTCTGCGAGATCCAGCCATTGGAGCAGCCAAACCAGGCCGCCTCCTCATGCTGGTCGAATGCCAGGCAACTGATCGGGGCAGAGGTCGCCTGCCCGGTGGCAAGCTCGTAATAGGCTGCCCCGTCCTCGTACATGAGGTGGTAGCCTGGGCGATCTCGCTTCTTACGTCCGCTGCATCATCCAATGGCATCAGGCTTCCAAATACAGCGCCGTACCATTGCCAGTAATGCACCAGGATCCGTTTCGTGTCGTCGCCATGACCGGTTTCGTGGTGAGGTTCTTCCGATGATGGCGCCTCCCGCCAGGTTAACAAGCAGCAGCAACTATGGGTATTAGAGTTCAAAGTGCCACCGTACTCGAACTCTAAGATCCATTGATAGCCTTCCTGCAAGCATATGAATATACATACTCTCATAATTTCTCCATGCACCTGCAACACTGGCCACCATGCCCCAGGACCGATCTTAGGGGAGAAGGCATTGGCTGGCTGATGAGGTGCTGCAAGGTACCCGCTAAAAGGTTGATGCTGTCACGCCCTCCTTGTGGTATATATGCGGGTGTGACGGGGCATTCGGCCTACTTGCTCAGAATCCGATACATATGCTAAGTGAGGGTGCGGTACAGGGGCGCCAATCACACCATGTGGGCGATTGCTCAGTTGTGCAAGGCAGGCAATACAGTCGACATCAGGGCGTCATCTTTGCAATCATCATGGCAGGCACTGAAGGATGTCGACATCAGTGTTGACATGGGTTTCAGCAGATTGTGCTCACTTACTCGTCTGGTTTGATCAGCTCTGTCTACAATTTTGTAATTAATGTCTCTTGCAGCTGATGTTGTTTCTGAAAGGAAGCGCAGGTGCTGGTATAAAAAGTAAATATGTGTCAAACAGAGACATCATTGCAGGCCAATGTGCAACACGGACCTTTGCAGAGCAACAATCCATCCTTGTTGCTGGATCTGGCCATCCCTGGCATGCCCATAGCCTGGCAAAATACACCTCTACAAGAATGGGCCTTCTTTGAATTGCTGTATATGTAATTTAGAGGTTGATGGCCTTTGTTGACGTGGTGCTCGTCAGCAATATGCAATCATATACCTCTGCCTTGGCCTTCCTGTGCTGCGCGCGTGCTGTTGCCTCCTCCCGTTTCGGAAGCCATTACAAGCTCAGCTCCGACCGGGTTGGGTGAGACAAACCTAGCACTACACAGCAGCAATCGATATTAAATGGCTAGTAATTTTTGACATAGAATGGGGCAGCATACCAATCTGGCGACGCAGTAAACAATACATCATGTGTGTGTCACCATGACCTCGTCCCATCCGTGCGACCATGGCGGACTTTCCCATGCCCGTCTTCTACAGCTACCCTCCCTACTTCACGTGAGAGTTGTTGTAAGAGATCGTGTTCCTATTTTGTAGCCTTCACCACACCTGGTGTAGGTTCTCAGCCAGGCCACAAGCCCCACCTTGCAGGCTTCAACCAGTGAAAGAGACACAGAGGAAGCAGCGCGAGTCCTGGAAAGACCTCATCCTGTCCTACTGTTGCCACCATAGGGTCAGTCCCTGGCCATGCTGCTGTGGCTGACAGAGGGTGTGTTGGGTTCCCGAGCGGCGCACCCAGGAGGAGACGGGTACCCTCCACGGCAGCAGCAGCAGGTTGATAAGCGATACCTCCACACTTCCCTTCCACAGATATTCATCGTCAGCCTGGACGCGGCCGCAGACGAGTTTCCCCTGTTTGAGAACAAGGCGATCCAGCGTGAGACCTCGCGGGGGATCCAGCAGTGATGGTCCGCAGATTGGCACTTCCTGTGTGGGATGCTCTGTCATCTGAACCTCCCTCATGCCTGTGCATCACAAACTTGTTTCCCAAGCCCCCCTACCCAACCCCTCTCTTGATAAATAACATCATGCAGGCAAGCTGAGCCTGGAGGCCCGCTCCCTGCTCCTGGAGGACCTGGCGGCCTCGGGGCGGGGCCGGTGGCTGGGCCCCGACAGGCGCCGCCTGCTGGTCCTCTGGCGCGGCGTAGGCGAGTGGGCCGACGTGATCCATGCCTGGGCGCGGGGTAACGGCCTGGAGGACAGCGTGGTGAGCCTGGAGGAGCTGCTGGGCGGCGAGGATGTCCGCGGCAGCGAGCTGGCGGGCATGCCTCGCGAGCTGCTCTCTGCCGCGCTGCGCACGCTGGAGGAGCGGGGCAAGGCGCGCGTGTTCAGGGGCGACGCCAACGACGACACTGGGGTCAAGTTCTTCGCCTGAGGGGGCTGACATCGGGGCGTGGTGTGTGGTGCGGATCCCAAGAGGGCCGCAGCTGGGGGTGCCCAGCTGCTGTGTGCCTCGCTGCAACCCGCTCCAGTTACAGAGCAGAAGTGGAAAGGGTGCACGTGGTTTGCATGTGGCATGTCGGATTCAATTTCAAGGCGAGGAGGGTTTGCGGTTCTGCTGATGGTACAGGGTGAGGAGGGGCGTCGCATGAGTGCATCGGCACGACGCATCCCCCCCTTCTTGATCATGAGATTCGTTCCTCTGGATCTGATGGGGATGGCAGCAGCAGGGAGTGGGTGTGTTCGAGCTCCCAGGCTGTGTAGCCTGCTCCTCATTTCCCAGCTGACCTGGGCGGAGTGGCCGCCCGCCAGGCAGGGGCCCAAGCTCGCACCACCGCCCGCGCCATCCACCCAATCCGCGCCGCGCTCCCTCCCTCACACGCGCGCGTCCACGGCGGCCATGTGCCGGATGAGGTCCACGACGCGGTTGGAGTAGCCCCACTCGTTGTCGTACCAGGCCAGCAGCTTGACAAAGGTGGGCGACAGCTGGATGCCGGCGCTGGCGTCCACGATCGACGACCGCGCGTCGGAGATGAAGTCTGAGGACACCACTGCCTCCTCGGTGAAGCCAAGGATACCCGCCAGCTCGGCCTGAGAGGCACGGCGCAGCTCGGCCATGATCTCGCCGTACTCCGCGCCGCGCTCTAGGTTCACCGTCAGGTCCACCACCGAGACGTCGGCGGTGGGCACGCGGAAGGCCATCCCCGTCAGCTTGCCGTTGAGCGCGGGCAACACCTTACCCACGGCCTTGGCCGCGCCGGTGGAGGAGGGGATGATGTTGAAGGCCGCGCCGCGCCCGCCGCGCCAGTCCTTGCGCGAGGGGCCGTCCACCGTCTTCTGGGTGGCGGTGGTGGCGTGCACTGTGGTCATCAGCCCCTCCCGGATGCCCCACTTGTCGTTCACCACCTTGGCCAGCGGGGCCAGGCAGTTGGTGGTGCAGGAGGCATTGGACACCACGTCCTGGCATGCTTCGTACTCGTGGTGGTTCACGCCCTGGGTGGGTGGCAGATGTTGGGAGCCTGAGGACGTTGTAATGAGCATGTGATGCAGGTATGACCGCTGGGAATGCATGACTGGAGGTTCAGTGAACGCCACGATCTAGGCCTGCATGCTCTCACGTCCCAGCCGAGCGGCAGGATCGCAGGAGGCCGCCTCTTGTGAGCCTCGCCCCGCGACATACACCAAAACACACCATGACAAACATGGGGGCGTCCTTGGAGGGCGCGGAGATGACCACCTTCCTCGCGCCGCCCCTGAAGTGGGCCGATGCCTGCATGGTACATGGATTGGGAGGAAGGAGCATCAGAGATGTGTTCCTGCAGCATGTCCCGCCCAGGTCACAAGGAGCAATTTTGCAAGCCTCTGACCGACGTCATGATAAATTTGGGCGTTCAGATGTTTGCAGACAACAGCTGATCCCCGCCCGGGACATCACAGCACACCTTGGCGGTGTCGGTGAACACGCCGGTGGCTTCGCAGATGTAGTCGGCGCCCGACTTGCCCCAAGCGATCTCGCTGGGGTCCCTGCAGCGCGTTGGGGAGAGTTGGCAGCACTTTTGATCAAAGTTTGCTGTCCATTCGGTTGTGGGGTACCACTGGCAAGCTTCCTGCGCCCAGGTATCTGGAGTGGGTGATAATGACCCCTACATACCAAGTACTCACATGCAGGCTGAGACGGCCAACTGCTTCCCGTTCAGGTACAGGCTGGAGCCATCGTAGTCAATGTCTCCCTTGAACCTTCCGTGGACTGCAGGTGAGGCATGGGCTTGAGGGTGGAACGCCGGAAATTCGGTCGATGTTCCTCAGATTGCGAGCGCCGCCCCGACGATGCCCAGCGCTGTACAGCACATTCAGGCCGGGTATCCCGGCGTGGACCTGCTCACCTGTGTCATATTTCAGCATGTACGCCATGTACTCGGGGTTGACAAAGGGATCGTTGATGGCCACGATCTCGACCTCTGGGTTCTGCATTGCTGCGCGCAGGGTGAGTCGGCCGATGCGTCCGAACCCTGAGGCAGGGCATGAAGGACAGAAATTAGTAAATGGGACGCGCTGCAGGGCGAATGGGGAATTGGCGCCCTCCATCGCTACATATTTGCACGTGCATTACCGTTGATGCCGACGCGAGTCTTGTCGCTGGACTTGCTGCTCGTTTCATTGACTGCGGGGGGGTCCCTCTCCGCCACCACCGCACGGGTCACGACCGGCAGGCGCGATGCTCTGGTGCGCTGGGCACGCCGAGTGCTCGGGAAAGACGCAACGGTAACACCTCGCGAGCTGGAGAGCGACTGCATGTTGGTTTGGATTGCAGAGATGGTTTCCAGGAATTGTCAGTGGGAAAGGGTTTCTCGGCCCAAGGGTCGAAGGCGCTGTTGGAGAGGATGGCGGGTGACGAGAATGTCAAGAATTACGATCCTTTGTTCTGCGCAATTGTGGGATTGCTGCAAGCCCGTCGACGCCATATTGCCCCCAGCAGGGTCAGTCCCAACCTGCGCCCCTCCCGGTTCTTGTCCTCACGTGCTGCACGTGGTGCTGAAGCATGACGAATCTAGCAGGCAACTCCTTGGGACAGGTCCACTCACAGCTGTCCATTCTCAGCTCTCAAGCCACCTGGACTGTCGCTGCCTTGCTGCAAGTTGCCTTTGCAGTTACATCTTGCTGGACAGGGCAGGCCCAACCCTCCAGCCTCACTTGACTATGAGGTTGAGCGCCCTCCCCGGCACCCAAACCACCTTCACAACCTGCTTGCCGGCCAGGTGGCGGCTGACCGCCTCGTTGGCGCGCGCCGCCTCCAGCGCCGCCCCCTGCCCGATCTCGCGCTCCACCTCTATCACGGCCCGCACCCTGCCGTTCACCTGGACCGGCAGCTTCAGGCTGTCGACCTGGACCAGGCTCGGGTCAAAGGCGGGCCAGCTCGCGTAGGCCAGCGACCCCTCGTGCCCGAGCCGCTGCACATGGCGAGAAGGTTGTGCAAAGAGCCCATGAGGCAAGGCTGCCAGATAGTCATCATCACCTCGCCATCGTCAGGAGACTGCACTCCGCCCGCTGCCGCACCAGGTCCCACTCGCCACCGCACGCATGTCCTGCGCGCCCAGCCATCTCGTGACCCAACCCCAGGGGACCCCTACCGCAAACACGCAAATCCCCACCTGCCACAGCTCCTCCGCAATGTGGGGGGCGTAGGGCGCCAGCAGCAGCACCAGCGTCTCGAACAGGGGGCGGGGGCAGGCATCCCACTTGTACGCGGCGTTCACCGCCTCCATCATCGCCGCGATGGCGGTGTTGAAGCGCATGGCCTCGGTGTCCTCCGTGATGCGCCCCACCGTCCGGTTCATGACCGCCGCCTGCGCCGGCGTGGGGGCGACGCCGGGCTGCGCCAGGCGCTCAGTGCCCAGCCGCCAGACGCGGGCGAGGAAGCGGTGGACCCCCTCCACGCCCTTGGTGCTCCAGACCTTGCGGTTTAGGCGTGCGAGGGAGGGGAAGTCATGAGAGCCCTCACAGACATGTCTCCCGGCAGCTCACCAGGATCAGGAGGCCGCGAGGTCGTCCCAGGGAATCCACCCACCTGGCACCCCCAGCGTGCCCACAGGTTCTGCCTCGCTGCGGTCTCCAACCCCCGCCCCCACCTCAGCATCCATTGCTCTCCCCGTACCAAGTCCCACCAACCTTGGTGTCACGCAGCGGGCCCATGAACATCTCGTAGAGGCGCAGCGAATCCGCGCCGTACCCCGCCACCACGTCGTCCGGATTGATCACGTTCCCCCGGCTCTTGCTCATCTTGTGGGCGCGGGCCGACACGGGGGTGGACGGGTCCGCGCGCAGGCGGTACCCCGTTGGACTGGCAGCCCACGGCTCCACCTCCTCCGGCCGGACCCTGCAGGGGCGGTGTGGGGGTGGGGGAGGCATTGCTCCGAGTGAAGATGGCGTGATTGACAGAGCAGGGGCGCATTGGGCCTCTAATACGCGGGAAAGGGCCACCGCATCACAGTCAGCGCTCTGCGTGCAGGCTTCCCCACGCTCTCCTGCGCCCTTGTACAGCAAAACCCGCTCCCAGGTCCCTCCGTGCACCGGACCCCGCACCTGACAGCCGCCGCGCCCGCGTCACCCTCGCGCACGGGCTCGCCGCCCGGCCCTCGGTGCACGGTGTACTCCACCTCCCCCAGGATCATGCCCTGGCTGACCAGGCGCTGGAAGGGCTCGGGCGTGCTGACGTGGCCCAGATCGAAGAGGACCTTGTGCCAGAAGCGGGCGTAGAGGAGGTGCAGCACGGCGTGCTCGGCGCCGCCGACGTATAGGTCCACGGGCATCCAGTAGGCCTCTGCTTCCTTGCTCACCAGCCTAGATGTCGGGGGTGCCAGGTTGAGGTGAGCGAGGAATGGGTCATGAGCAGGGTGGTTCTGGGAAGCCAGCACCAGACACAGAGGGTCAATGTGAGCTTTGGAGGGGTGTAACCTAGGATTGCGCGTGGTTGAAGGTGGCAGGGGGGGCTACACACATCCCGCAGGGCAGCCTCACGATCGGGAATGGGTGCAGCGTACCATTCCCCAGAGGCTCCTGCCAGCAAAACAATACCCCCCCCCACCTGCTGCTGTTGTCGGGGTCGATGTAGCGGAGGTAGTACCAGCATGACCCGGCCCACTGGGGCATGGTGGACGCTTCGCGGATCGCGGGGGACTCTGCGCAGGGGTGTAATGCGATCAGGGCGATTCTGCCGAGTCCCACAAGCGCACCATGGCTCTCGCTGTCTTGGACTCCCCCGCGGGTCCGCTTCCGCCCGCTCACCCAGCTCTCCCCCAGCCTGCACGCTGCTGCGCACCCCTTTCGGAATGATACAAAAACACGAAGCCCCGCCCAGCACACCACCGACCTGTGCCGGGCACCACGGTCTGCATCCAGGCCGTGGCCTTGGCCAGCGGGGGGTCTGCGGTGCCTGTGGGCGTGAAGTCCTCCACCTCGGGCAGGACCAGGGGCAGCTCAGACTCCGGAATGGCAACTGAGGTCTGTTGATGAAAGAGGGCGTTGCGGATTGTGTTCCGAGCCTTGATCGTGTGGGGGCGTTTCATGACGGACAGGTGCCTGGATCAGACACAAGGACGCAGGGGGCCCAGTCAGGACGCCACACGTACATCATCCACCTTTCAGGAGTTATATCCCGTACCTAACCACCAACCCATCAACAGGCCTCCCACTCCCCCCAGGACCCAGCATCTCTGCCTACCTGATCAGGGCTGCCATCGGGCCCCAGCGGGAACACAACGGGGAAGGGCTCGCCCCAGTAGCGCTGCCGCGCGAACAGCCAGTCGCGCAGTTTGTACTGCGTCCTGCCCCGCCCCGCCCCCCGCGCCTCCAGCCAGTCGATCACGGCGCGGCTGGCCTCCGCCCGGCCCAGCCCGTCCAGGGTCAGACCCGGCGCGGCGGAGGCGCAGGCCACCGTCCCGCCCGCCTCGCCGTCCCGCACCACCGCGCGGCTGGGCAGGCGGTACTGCGCGGCAAAGGCCGCGTCGCGCTCGTCGTGGGCGGGCACGGCCATTATGGCGCCCGTGCCGTACGCGCCCAGCACATACTCGGCCGTCCAGATGGGCAGGGGCTCGCGCGTGGCGGGGAGGAGCGCATACGCGCCTGAGGATGTTTTGGAGGGTGAGTGCGGAGGTGGAGGAAGGGGGGGGGGGAGTGGACACAGGTGTGTGCAGTCAATTGCAAAATCCCAGACAGACACACATGGGGCACTATGCCGGCAGCCGCCCTAGGGCCCATGGGCTCGCCCCTCCAGCTCTCAAGGCATGCCCATCCCACAGGGTCCCACCAACTCCATCAGCCCACCCAACGCCTCTCTCCTCTAAAACCCCACACCTGTGAAGACCCCCGTGACGCCCGACGCCGCGCGCTGCCGGTCGGACTTGGCCGTGGCGGCGGCGACGTAGGCCTGCACCTCCGCGGCGCGGTCCGGGGTGGCCACGGCCAGCGTGGCCGGGTGCTCGGGCGCCAGGACCAGGAATGTGGCGCCAAAGAGGGTGTCAGGCCGGGTGGTGTACACCTCGATGGCCTCTGGATAAGGTGGCGGGCTGGCGCTGGCGCCAGAAGCGTCTGGGCGCTGCGTCAGCGGGAAGCTGATCGCCGCCCCCTGCCGTGTGGAGAGGGTTGGATTCTTGTTGTGGGGGCTCACTGTGCAGGCAAACACACCGCGGCTGAGCCTTGCACGCAACGTCGCCTGTGCGCTCCCAGGCCCACTCCCACGACCAGCCCCAAGCACTCTCCAGCCGCATTCTGGGGCATCTGCTCCGTTGCAGGGCAACGTACTCCTCCACAGCCCTCACAGGCATTCCCTCCCCAACCCCCCTTCCCACCACCCAGAGAACACCCCGGCCTGGCGCCCCACCTCCGACCTCCCGATCCAGTTGCGCTGCTGGTCCAGGATGGCGGGGTCCCAGTCCAGGGTGGGCAGGTCGGCCAGCAGGCGGTCTGCGTAGGCGGTGATGCGTAGCATCCACTGGCGCAGGGGCATGCGCATCACTGGGTGCCCCCCACGCTCGCTCAGGCCGTCGACCACCTCCTCGTTGGCCAGCACGGTGCCCAGCGCGGGGCACCAGTTCACCGGCACCTCCGCCTGGTAGGCCAGCCCCGCGGCGTGCAGCTGCAGGAAGACCCACTGCGTCCAGCGGTAGTAGGCCGGGTCGGCGGTGGACACCTCGCGCCGCCAGTCGTAGCTGAACCCCAGCGCGCGCAGCTGCTGCCGGAAGCGCGTGATGTTGGTCGCCGTGGTCGCGGCGGGGTGCGTCCCCGTCTGGATGGCGTACTGCTCGGCGGGCAGGCCGAACGCGTCCCAGCCCATGGGGTGCAGTACGTTGAAGCCGCGCATGCGCTTGTACCGCGCCAGGATGTCGGTGGCGGTGTAGCCCTCGGGGTGGCCCACGTGCAATCCCGACCCACTGGATCGTGAGGGATGGGCACGGCAGGAGGTGTGCGGGGGTAGGTGATGGCCACCGGGGAAGAGAGCCGCGACTGGATGTCCGACAGGACGTGGAGTGCTGCGTGATCCGCACACACTCCCAAGCCCGCCGCCCAGCATCCAGAGTAGCAGACGCCCCCCCCCCCCACACTTCCACACACCCACCTGGGGTAGGGGAACATGTCCAGGACGTAGAACTTTGGCTTGCTGGTGTCCAGGTCCTTGAATTCTGGGGTCCTGAAGGTCTGGTTCTCCTCCCAGTACCGCTGCCACTTGGGCTCCAGCTCGGCAAAGGGGTAGGCTGCGTGGCGGGTGGCTGGGCCGGTGCCGGACTCCGGCACAGGCCCCGTCTCGGTTTCCGGCTGGGTGGTGGCCGTACTCGCCGAGCGAAGCGGCGTGCATGGAACCCTGGGGGAGAATGGCGCCCTTGCCACGCCGGCCCATGGTGTCAGGGCGGTCCTCGCGCACCGCAGAGCGCAGCGCACGGTGCCGCTGCGGGGGCCTGCAGCCCCCAGCAATGGGCCCGATGCATGCAGTGCTGGCATGTCCCTGCCCTTTCTAAAAGCCCATGACGACCGCATCGATGGTCTCGGGGCGAGGGTGGTGGTCGCATGTATCGGGACGCATGGTCATGATCGCCCCTGCTTTGCATGAGCCGGAATGGGTCACGCGGAGGCCCATGAGGTGGTGCTGCCCACCAGAGGACGCATCCCTTACAGTTGTGAACCTCATTCTAGGGACTCAGTCTGATGGCTTAAAATACATAGTTCTTGGGCACACACTGTGGCCGGGAAGAATTCCAAATTCACACAGCAAGCAGCAAGAGCTCTCATAGTTGCCGCTGCGCAAGACGGGTCACAATGGGCTTGAAGACGGCATCCACGCCCTGCGTTTGGATTGGTCGGCTGATCAGCAGTTGACGAAAGGTACTCAATTCTCCACTCATGCAGGCATCTCCTGCGATGAGCATGCATATGAAACCAGGAAGTCACACACATGCCCAGGGCTTCTTACCTCATTCCAGCTATGAGCTATCTGACCTCGAGTAGCTGGTCCCCACCACGAAACTGGCTCCTGTAAGGTTGTATAGGATCATCTTACAGATTATTCTTTTACAGGTTTGTCTTTGCACACAATGCAGGTGGAACCCTGCGCAATTTGAGACACCGAGGCATAGTAGTGAAATCCACAACAAGCTCACCTCTATTCCAAGGGGCTCCACATCCACGAGTGGAAGCTGCTGCGCTACATCGGCCGTCGCGTGCCAGATGCTCCTCTGCGCAGCAAGGGTGGTACACAATTTCAGGGACGTGACCTGTTGGGCATTGCTCACTCATGTCGCCGGCCGTCCGATTCAAACCACAAGGAAACCTCACCTTCACAGCCACGTATGCTAGAACAGAGGATGCGATCCCCGCGACAAAGGATGTGCGTCGGGAGTACTTGAGATAGTCTGTCATGGCCTTGGCACAAGGAGCACCGTCGCCGGGTCCTCCCCGACACAGAACCTCGATGAAATTGCCGCGACCTCGCTATTGTCCGTTCTGATGATTGAGCAATGCAATTCATTGGCGTCGGAAGGCGGTTCGTGAGTGTTTGCATCGGGCTTCGACCACCTTCGCCAGGGCGCGATGTTCCGGTCTGGGGAAGCTGTCATCTGGAAGTGCTGGAGGACAGAGGCAGAAGTCTTCTGGGTTCGGTAACATTGGCCTTTGGATACAAACGAATAAGTCGAGAGAAATTCGAACAAGTGCATTGGAACAGAGATAAGGCAAGCTTGGTGCATTGAACACGGTCACGCTAAGGTCTGGGCATGCCCTAGGAGAGGATGGTAACAACTGGAATCTGACGCACCAGCTCTTGCTCTATTCGAGCGCCGGCCGTGGACAGGCTGCTCATAGGGATATCCTGCAGCTCCTTCTGCATGCAGAGCCACTCCCCAAGGCCCGTCGTGATGGCTAGGAACGCCAGATTACAGATCCACCTGTTGAGAGGTATAATGGCACTGTGAGTCAACCCATATTGGGTAAGAATACATGTCACCATATTTCTGAGTGGCACTCTCCCTGCCTTGAACTCCGGCACTGCTTTGACCTTGAAGTCCTTGTGGCATGCCTAAATTGGAAAGCCCCGTGCACCCTGATCAGGTACCCCTTGAGCGGCCACCCACCATGTCTTTGTCCGGGGCAGGCCATAGGTCGACCACACAAGTATGAGATGGATGCCGTACAGGGTGGCCGTGAAGTCCAGACACTTCTTGGCGCGCCTGATCTGCACAAAAGCATTGTAAATATGGAGAGGGAGTGGGCAGTTGCGTGGAACTCCACAGTGAGGCCTGTCGTGCACGAGCCCACAACAATACCTCCATACCATCAGTCTGAGGAAGACGGCGTTGAGGACGGACGTGATGACAAAAGCCAGGATCACCATGGCCCCCACGAAGGTCTTCAGCTGGATCCATCGCCAGTCAAACACATGGAAGAGGTTCACATCCGGCACATACGGTCCTGGAGAGGTGTCGGAGGTAGATAAACCGTGAGAATTATTCATCAGAAACTGAATTGTGTCTGGTGCAAGTTGATGAACACCCCATGGCTGCACTCGCACCGGTGAGGAGGAAGAGCAGCAAGCCAAGGGTGCCGTAAAAGTAGCATTGGAACGCCACTATCTGGACGACTATCAGCAGAGGATCCCATCTGACTGTTCCATAGAGCATGAATTCAGGAGTTGAGGGACTTGGGCAGGGTCGCACGCCCGCTTCTGTGTCTTGAAACACAGATCGCGGAGCGAAGAGGAGGTCCTCAGCCGCGCAGCATGTGCTCTGAGCAAATACCCTTTACTACAACTACTTTGAAGGAATCGGCAACAGCTTTGTTTTTCGCCTGATCACTTTTGCGGCAAAGAAATCGATCTGCTCCCATTCCGCGCGCGCCCTCAAAACCCCGCTGGCTGTCAGTGAAGTGGAGAGTAGACATCATCAAGGCCAGGAGTCACGATCCCCGCGCTCCACCTGCCAAAGCTACAAATGAAAATCCCCGTCAACAGCTATGCGTGCCACGAGGAACCAGTGTGAGGCAGCGACATGCTCTCAAACCCTCCTGCCCGCGCTGCGCTCCGGGGAGCGCCACAGCCTGACCCTGGCGTCCCCACCCCCCGTCGCCAGCGTCCAGGTGGGCCGCTCCAGGGCGGTCAGCCTGCCCGGGCACCAGGCCAGCGCGGCGATGGGCGCGGTGTGCGCGTCGGGCACGCTGGCCAGGAGGTCGGCCCCCGCCTCGTCGAAGAAGGCGAGGCGGTGCCCGTTGGACAGCGCGATCACCCCCCCTGCGCCCCACGCCAGCCGCGCGCGCAGCTTGGGGTCCAGCGCCAGCGGCAGCCGCGCCGTCGCCAGCAGCTTGGGGTCCTCGGCCAGCGCGTAGCGCACGCCGATGTTCCACAGCCGGAGCGTGCCGTCGGCGGAGGCCGTTGCGCAGCGCCCCAGGTCCGGGGAGAAGGCCAGGGCCAGCACGCGCGCGGCATGGCCCTTCAGGGCCATGGCCTTGTGCAGGCCGGTGAAGGTGCCCTGCCTGTCGAACGCCACCTCGTAGATCTGTCACGAGGGGATTGAGAAGGGGGGGCGTTAAAGTTGTCACAAACAGATAAAGTTTGAAAAAATAAGGGGCAGCGAATGCTTCAGTGACTCTCCTGCAGAGTGCGCAGGCCCTGGAAACTCCCAGCCCTGAGACCTGCCTTGACGTCATTGGTGAACGTCGCGGCCGCCACCCATCGCCCGTCGGAGGACACCGCGGCGGCATAGTTCTGCGTAGGGATGGCACAGGGGAGCGACTATTCAACCATGCCGGGGTGCTGGTGCAGGCGTGCATGCCGGCATGCTACAGGTAGCAAGGACACACCTAAAACCCTGCCTCCACCACTCTCGAGTCTGGGTCGCTGCACATTGCCCCATCCCAATCAATGCGAGCATCTGCTGCCATGCCGCCCATCCCCACACTCGCGCACCTCGAAGCCGCCAGTGTCTATGGTGCCCAGGTCCTCCCCCGTGCCAGAGTAGACGCTGCGGGTGGTGGGATGATGATCCTGGTATTCTGCGTGCAGTCGAGCACAATCACTTCGATACGCGTCACCATCATTCCCAGCTGTTCTTTCATCACAAGTAGCCACCACATGGACTGTGTTCAGCGTCGGTCATCCAGGCTCCGGGTCCCCTTGAACAGGCCATGCGCATGGAGCATGCGCTCAGATGCAATGCCACGCTGCTCCCCCGGCACACCCCACCCCCCTTCGGAAGGCACTCACTGGATGTCCGTCTTGTTTGAGCTGCTGATGATGATGGGGTACCCCGCCTTGCTGCCGGCGCTGGCCTCCAGGCACCGCCCCTCGTTGGCGGCCGCGTGCGCCCCGTGCCGCGTCCAGGCCGGCTCCGGGTCGCCATGTGGGCCCCTGGGCAGTGTCAGCAACGTCACGGCGGGCGCGCCGCCCTCGCCCCGCGTGAGCACCGCCAGGCTGCTGGGCCCTGCGCCGAAGGCCACGTCGCTGGCCCCCTGTCGCAGCTCGTGGGAGGAGTGGGGCGGCTGGCGCCCGCCCGGCGCCGCCACGTCCAGCCCGGGGGGCAGCCGCCAGACCTGCAGGCTACCCCCGTCAGTGGCCGCCGCCAGGGCGTCCCCGTCTGCCGACCAGGCCAGGCCCAGGACCGCGCCGGTGGTGCTGCGCAGGCTGGCCAGGTGCAGCTCGGAGTCGGGGACAAAGTCGGGGCCGGCGGCGCGCTTGGCCAGGGCCGCCTGCTTCATCAGCGACTTGAGGCCCGTGCCGGGGGTGGTGGAGGCGTGCTGCGCCGCGGCAGGGCGCTGACCCCGCTTTGGTGTGCTGTGAGGGGAGGAGGTATGGTGGAAGTTTTCATCGTCCTTGTCAAGATGCACCGCAATGTTTTGGGGGGCTGTCGGGGATCGCTTATGGAAGAATAGCATTGGGACCACTCCATCTTCCATCCCTCAATTTCCCTTGCCTGAAGTCGTCCGACTGGGGAGGGGCGGCGCGGGATGCAGGTGCATCCCTGGTCGGACTGAGCCACCTGTATATACCGGCCACCCTCAAAAGGATGGAACGGAGCAGCTGCACCACGATCACTGCCGCAGATCCCGCAATCACCACGGCCACCGCTACGGTGGCCGGTGCCAGACCGCTCCCATCTCCAGCCGCCTGCTCGCCGGCATGGGCCATCATTCCCAACTTAATAGATCTGTCTTGCAACAATCGTCAATTTCCTCTGATCACGGGGCCGTCGTGCTGTTGCGCGCATGTGCTACGATCGGAAGTTGCCAGCATGGCAAATCATGGATCCTGCAGTGTGCTTGACGACCTCCGATCCGGCTCACAGTGGACCGCGACTCCTAGGGACAGAGCGCGTGGAGCATTGTGGACAGTGTGCCTGCCTGTCTTTTGTTATTATAATTGGTGAAGTGGCAGCAAAGAACTTGCGCACCCAGCTTGTGGGCGCGGAAGTCGTGCTGCAAGTCTCGTCCAGCGTTGGTGTGCACCACCAATCAGCTCATCGATTTGGGCGCACAGGAAAGACAATCCGAGTCGCAATCGATTGGAATCCATTGCAGAGACTCTCAGGCCTGCACCCCTGGATCTTTCGGACCCTCCGAGTTTCTCGCACCACATGGCGCCGACGGAACCCCCGTACCCCGTTTCGCCTCTTACTGATCTTGGCCACCCCGATAACTCATTCGAGCTGGACAAAACATTCAAGTTCTCCATGGATGCCGAGACGTCGGGATCCTGGAGGGATGAGGCCCCCCTCCTCACCCCCCGGATGTCCTCGGCGTCGGGACCGCGCCTCCCCCCCGCTCCCAGCCGCAGCGTCCTCTCGCACGAAAATGACAAACTGTTTGACCCCGATGCGTGTCGACACGAGCTGGCAAAGTGAGTGACGAGGGGGTGGGGCCCGTCGAGGTGTGCCGGTCCCGCACTGTGCCATGCCCCCCATGCCGAGTTTGCGAGCCCCAGGGCTGCCCCACCCTGCCTGCCCCGCCCAAACAACCCCCCCCCCACCACACCCTTTGTCCTCCTGCACCCCAGGATGACCGAGCTGGCCTGGCCCATCGTCTGCTCCGGCTTCCTCTCCTACGGTCTCAGCGTCATCAGCATCGCTTTTGTGGGCCGCCTGGGCAAGCTGGAGCTGTCCATCACCCTGCTGGCCACCAGCTTCTTCAACGTCACAGGCATGGCCATCGTCCTAGGGTTTGCAGGCGTGCTGGAGACCGTGTGCGGGCAGGCCTACGGCGCCGCGCACTACCGCGCGGTGGGCCTGGCGCTGCAGCGTGCCGTGCTCATGGCGCTGGTCCTCTGCAGCGCCATCACTGCCGGCTGGTTCCACGCCGCGCCGCTGATGACCATGCTGGGCCAGGAGCCGGCCATCGCGGCGGGGGCGGCGCGCTTCCTCTGGCTCAGCTCCCCCGCCCTGTTCGCGGGGGCGCTGTATGGCGTGCTCACGCGCTACCTGCTGGCCCAGGGCCAGAGCCGGCTGCCCACCTGGTCGGCGGCCATCGCAGTCCTGCTGGCCCCAGTCTACAACTACCTCCTGGTGCTGCGGGCGGGGTGGGGCCTGGACGGCGCCGCGCTGGCCCTGGACCTCACCGAGGCCACGCTCCTGGTCTCCCTGGCCTGGCTGACGTGGCGCTTCAACAGGGGGCTGGAGGGCACGCCCAAGCAGACCTGGCACGGCTGGTGAGCTGGTGCAGTTTTAATGAGGGGATGGTCTGGGGGGAGAGAGGGAGGTCTTTTCCCAAGGGATCTAAAGGACCTCGCCCTGCTCCGTGACTGCCAGCGGAGTATACCCGGTTGAGCCTCGACATGAGGTGCTTGTGCAAGGGACCAGGGCGTCTCGGACTGGCGCCACAGTGACACCCCCTGCTCCAGGTTTCCACACGTAATACCTCCAATTCCAGGAATCAGAGTGCATGTGGTCATGCAAGGCCATGTGTTGTTGCCTGTTGCTCTGATGCAGCGAGATCAGCACTCCACCCCACCGGCCCCACCCACCCCTATCACCCAAAGCCCCCTCCTTTTCCAACCCATCCCTCCTCCAACCACCCCCTTTGCCCCCAGGAGCTCCGCGGCTCTGCGCGGCTGGGGCTCCTACGTCCGCATCGGCCTGCCCTCCGTAGCCATGGTCCTGGTGGAGTGGAGCGCCTTTGAGGTCTGCGTGCTGGAGGCGGGTTGGCTGCCTGACCCTGAGGTCACGCTGGCGGTCATGGGCGTGTGCCTCAACATCTCCACCCTCCTCTACATGCTGCCCGCGGGGCTGTCCGCCGCCTGCTCCACGCGCGTCGGCAACGCGCTGGGCGCGGGGCTGGGCCGCGCCGCCGCGCGCGCGGCCTGCACGGGCGTCCTCCTCACCTCCCTGCTCCAGCTCTTCCTCATCGCCGTGCTGGTGTTTGGCCGCTTCGGCATCGTCCAGATCCTCACCAACGTGCCCGAGGTGGGTGGGTGGGTGGGTGGTGGGGGTGGGGGGGGGGGGGGGGGTGATGCCAACTGTGGAAGGGGTCGGGTGCGGTCCTCTGGGCGAGGTCGACCAGGGCGTCAAATTGAGTGAGGGACAGTCGCAGGGCTCATGCGCGTGACGCCAGGCTATTGGACCTGGACCTCAACCTCAAGCGTCCCACGCAGTCACTCGTAAGCCCCACCTGTCCCCCTTGCAATCATACCCAACCCCCGGAACCCCCGCTCAGGTGATCTCCCTGGCGGCAGACACGCTGCTGATCGTGGCCTGCGCCATTCTGGGGGACGGCATCAACTGCACGCTGAACGGCATGCTGCGCGGGTGCGGGCGGCAGACGCTGGGCGCCGTGCTGAACGTCGCCTCCTTCTGGGGCGTGGCCCTGCCCCTGGGCTGGGCCCTCGGCTTCCGCCTCAACTGGGGCGTGCGCGGCCTGTGGTGGGGCCTGGTGACGGGCAACTACCTGCTCACTGCCTCCCTGCTCGTCGTGCTGGCCACAACAGACTGGGGCCACCAGGTGCGCCGCGCCAGCACGCTGACCGAGGGCCTGGAGGCGGGGCCGCCGGCCGAAGATGAGCGCAACGTCCTTGTGCTCTAGCGCACAGGACTGCTGCAGGCGAGTGGCCGAGATATTTATGCAGAGTGCTGCCGAGCAGGATGGGGTAGGCATCCGATGCGCAGTCCTGCTGTGCCACCACCGCCAGTGACCATACTGTAATTGCCCCCCCTCCCCCCCTCCTTCCCTTTCCCTGAGATATTCTTTGTTCCCCGCACACTCACGCCCCCCCTTCCATGTCTGCCTGCACGTTGAGTGGCAGTGCTGCACCCCCTGGGAGCGTGATTGATGTAACATTCTCAAGGCACAGGACGCCAGGCAGACCAGGGTGCAGGGCGGCATCGTGACAGCACGGTTCATCACTGCACGGCGACTCGCAGGTCGAGGTCGACCTCCCTCCACTCGGCCTCCTGCGGCCCCCTCCAGTCGAGGTAGCGCTCCCGGCACTGCGCCCTGCCGTCGCGCCCGATTGCCAGCAGCGTCTGGCTGCGGGTGCCGTACCACGAGTCGTCCCCCAGGGCGGGGAGGTGGGTGGGCGGGATGAAGACGCCGGAGACCAGGGACTCGAACGCGGCGTCGTACCCGGTGGCGGGCAGGGGCCCTGCCTCGCTCGCCAGGACCTCGGGCTGGGACATGATGCCAAAGAGCTGGCCCGGGGATGGTGGGGGTGAGTGCTGGAGCCGTGGCCCAGACGGTCGGCACAGCCAGTACCGAGCTGTGAAGCTGGCGCAGGGGACGCAGCAATGAACACCTTCGAACCTGTGGCCACCCAAATCCAAGACCCTCCTCCCTGCAGACTCAGGCCCCACCTCTTCCCAGGGAAGGTCGGCTCCATCAAAAGCCCCGCTCCGCTGCAACGCAACCAGCTGGCGCTTGCCGTGCTGCACCTTGGCAAAGTCGGGGGCGTCCAGGAGGCCGTTGGCCAGGCCATGCAGGCCGGGGTCCACGCCCGCGCACACCCGCTCGCCCCGCCCGTTGCTGAGGTAGGCGCAGGACCGGCGCACCAGGTCCACCAGCAGCAGGTTGAATCCCTCAAACGCCTGCAGTGGTGAAGGGGTGGGTCCTCACCGTGCGACCCCAGGGAGTGGTGCGCTGTGTCTGCGCAGTGCCAGGCAGGCGCCCAGCGCCTCACCTGCGCATCGACGCCGTTCAAAAACTCTTCAGGCAACTCAGCACTGCCAGATGCGAGATAGGCTGCGGGCAGCAGGCCCCGGCTGGGACGTCCCGCAGAGGGTGCGGCCTTCTGGATCAGGGCAGTGGAGGTGGAAGGGGGGGCAGACTCTGTGACAGCGGCTGTCTCGTACCTCATCTACATCTCACAGAGCACTCGTGAGATCCTACAGAGTGCTCCTTTGAAAGCAACGAGTACTCCTGCCTCAGCAAAACCCCACCTGGCGGAAGGTTGTCAGCCAGGCAGCCTTGCCCTCTGTGCTGGCTGCGCACCAGGTCCCACCCCCGAGCTGGTCCCGGCCCCCGAATATGCCTGCCTCTCCACCATCCCAGACATGTGCTGGCACCGTAGGACTGCAGGGGGGTGCCGACGGGCCGGGCGGCTGGGCATGGCATGGGGCGGATCCCGGCCCCCCTCCGGACACTTGCTGGCAGTGCGGACTTACCGGCTCAGCTTCTCGTCCCTGTTGAAGGCAATCAGCAGCACATGGTTTAAAAGGCAGTCCCAGAAGAAGAACGTGACGCACATTCACATGCGGGGCCGAGATTACTCCTCGATATGTTGATGGGCAATAGCTCGAGGACGGGAGCTGACGCGGGGTCGTGTGGACTGTTGCCTGAGATGCGGCACGGTGGACCCTGTCTTGGAGAACGGATGTGAGAGATTTCTGGGTTGCAACGCCATCATCGGCTCAAGGTCCTGTTTCGAGGTGTGTGCAACTGTTACGAGATTGGTGGTCCACCGGGCTGACGAGGACGGCTGCACGATCCGGCATCGACATGAAACACACTTTCTGCACATCGCTTCCCGAATCTTCCGTTGAGCTTGATACAAGTGGGAAAGGAGGGGGTACAGGCAGTATACAGGTCACGAGGGGTTCAGTTCCCGAGGAAAGTCCCCATGCATCAGAGGAGTGAGGTGCTGCTGGACTGCTCGCAGGACATGCCGCCGCCCAGGAGCTCGTCCAGGGTCGCCAGCATGCGCCCAGAGTGGGCAGGCGTGACTTGCGTCGGCGTGGCAGCCACCGTCGAGGCCTCGCTCCCTTTCCAGCTGCCAAAGCTGTCCCCTGCCAGGTCCAGGCCCGGGGTCGCAGGTGCGCGGGGACCGCCGCGGCCGCCGGCCTGGGCGCCCTCGGGGGCAGCGCCCAGTGAGAAGCGTGCGGGCCACGCCCTGGGCTCATTCATTCCCTTCTTGCCCCGCCCCGCCGCAAATGGCGAGGTCGGCGGCGGCGGCGAGAGGCGGAACACGCCCGTGAGGTCCACGCAGCTCCGGCCGGGGCTGGTGCCGCGCGGCGGCCCCGGCTCCGGCTCGTCTCCGCTCGGCGCGCATGGCGCCCGGCGCGTGTGCAGGGGCACGGCGGCTGCCGTGGTGGCAAAGGTCGACAGTGCCTCGCTCAGGCTGCTGTCCAGCACCACGCCAGCCCCCACCTCCGGCTCGATGCATAGGGAGGCCGGCGGGACGGCGGGCGGGGACACGTCAATCAGCGACCTCATGCTGGGGGTGCCGGAAGGCGGCTGGGGCATGGACGGGTGCTGTCGGCCCTCGGCAACGAGCAGCACGGTTCCAGGATCGAGCTCCTCGCCGTCGGTGTTGGGATTCGCAGCCTCGCCCCCTCTACCCCGATCCGGCCCCAGCCCCGCCGCCTCAGATTCCTGCGGGCTCGGCTCCGCCGTACTAGGGGCCGAGGGCGTGGCACCACCCCGCCCCGCCACGCCGCGCGGCGACTCGGCACCGCCCTTCCCACCCACGCGCCGCACTGCCTGGGCCACGGTCTCGCTGCCGTTGAGCTCTGCCAGGACGGCCAGCTGGCGGGGGGTCCAGGGCCGCGTCAGGCCCAGCGTCAGCATCTCCTGCAGCTCCTCCAGCGGCAAGCGCGGGACGTCCTTCTTCAGGTAGTCCACCGCCGCCTCGATGTCCTCCACCTCCAGCAGCAGCGGCGCGGCGGCGCGCATGACGGCCAGCGCCACCTGGTGAGGTGGGGATGGTAGGAGGGAGGGTGGTGGGTGGGTGTCTGGGCAAGGGTTTCCCAAGGGTATCAAGCAAGTGTGGGCGCCACGTCGCCTCAGCTTGGAGGGGGCTTTGGTGGTGAGCGTCGGGGACATGGCGCGGGGATGAAGTCGGGTGTGGCAAGGTGCGCGTGTCACAGAAACACCTCCAAGGAGGACCGGGTCAGCTCAGACCCTCGCCGACCTCGCTCCCACGGAGGACCATCCGCCCCCTCCTCCCCCAAAATGAAAACAAGCAGACAAAGACCGTGCACCTTCATGATGGGTGCCGCATAGCAGTCGGTGACCACCAGGTCCATGATCCTGGCAGCAAAGGGGAGCGGGAAGTCGGAGGCGAAGCAGGTGAGGAACCAGCTGGAGGCGTAGAGGACGGGGAGGACGGAGTGGGCCTCCAGATGCGCCGCCAGGCGGGGGGGGAGCAGCCTGCCCATTTGCCACAGTCGGACCTGCGGGGGGTCGGAGGGGCGATTTGGGTTGCTGAGCTGCCGTGTCACACTGGGGGCCATCGACCCGCCTCGTTGGAGAGCTGGTGGTGCATTTCAGTAAAATCCTGGGTCCCTGGGCAACATGCTGGTGATAACTGGGCAGGCTGACCCATCCAAGCCAGGACTTGAGCCTCCACCCTGCCACCCCAGACCTGGAGCATGCTCATGTCCGGCTTGTAGCAGTCGCGCAGCCCACGGCCGTGCATGATGAGCCAGAACACGCCAAACGCGCCGGCCTCCGACGGGACATACGACAGGATGAGGCCTGCGACAAAGTTCATCCCCTGGGTGTAGCCGATGCTGGGGTCCGCCACCGCATACGCCTTGAGGACGCGGAACAGGGCCCGCTGCCCCGGTGGAGTGGACAGCCTATGCTCGATGGACAGGGCAGGGATCTCAGGGCATACACACCAGGGTAAAGAAAATTGGTGGAGGAGCTTGGCGATCCCAGACCCGCCATGTTCCCCAAGGGATTCACAGGACTCTCCATCCCTGGGCACAAACAAGCACAGCGAGGCGCGCACACCCCGGGCGCCTACCTCCAATGGCCTGGGTAGGTGCGGTGGAGGTCCTTCTCGATCTCCGACTGGACGGAGGAAGGCAGGCTCTGTGCGAGGGCCAGCATGGTCACGGATGGGGCGTTAGGGTTTGGTGGAACAATACAAAATCGGGTACCCTGCCAGGCCCGGCCCCCGCGTACCCGTGACACCAGGTGCGCAAACTCCTCACAGGCCTGCACCGCCTCCCGATCCCGATGCATCTGCGAGAGCCAGAGCTCAGCCCGCATCCGGGCTGGGACGCTGTTGAAGACCGTGCGCCCACACTGGAGATCGACCAGCTCATCGCAGCCATTGATATTCTCGGGTGTGTTGTCTGCCCCCAGGACATACTGGAATGCGTCTTGGCCGAGCTTCTGCACAAATGCCAGAGCCATGGCTCGGGCCTCCTACAGGACCCCGTCCAGAAGGTCGAGTCGGCACCTTCCACGCATGGTGGGACCCAAATGGTCTCGATAGCCTTCGATTTTTATTCACCAGCAAAGCCTCTCTCGAACACCGTGCACAGGCTTCATGACACCAGTTTTCTCGTGGGGTGCATATGCTCGACCGGTAGAAGGGAGGAATACCATGCCCCGTCTGTCCCTGGGTCCCCCTCCCTCACCGTCAAAGTCCAGGCGCCGGGCCCCAAGCGGCACAGCTCCCCGGTTCTTCAGCCAGCTCTCCCCGCCCCCCCTCCTCACCAGATTGGTGACTTTCAGGCCCGTGGCCCGTTTGTCTCCGTCTTTGATCCGCCAGAATGCGTGAGGTCATCAGTATCCACATCGGCCAGGTCCGTCCCGGTTGATGGGCTGGGGTGTCACCTTCCGCCCTATCCACTCTATATATTGTTGTTGACTTCCTCACTGATGTCGTGACATTCCATTCGACACTCTTCATATTCCCGTGGTCATACTCGGTAGCTCGCCTTCCACCTGTACTGCGCCCCAGTTCAAATTTGTGTGCGTGCCCAGGCATGTACACGGTCCCCTTTCGCTGTTATGTTCCATACCATCTGCTGGCAGGCCCGGGCCATGGTGTCCGGGCCATGACTCGGCAGTCCGGCGCAACACGGCCCGTGATCCAGCCCCGTGCTTCCCCTTCCGCAGGCCGGCATCCAGGTCGGTAACGCCTGCTGGGAGCTCTACTGCCTCGAGCACGGGTGAGGAGAAGTGTTCCGGGCCGACGATCGCCGACCGACACTGCCGTCCGGTGGGCGGCCCTGCTCGCACCCCTACCCGCCCAGCTGAGCCCACCCGAGTCCCCCTTTCGCCCCCCACCCGCCATGCGCAGCATCCAGCCCGACGGCCAGGTCCCCTCCGACCGCACCTTCGGCGCCACGGACGATGCCTTCAATACCTTTTTCTCCGAGACGGGTGCCGGCAAGCACGTGCCGCGCTGCGTCTTCGTGGACCTGGAGCCCACGGTGATCGACGAGGTGCGCACCGGCACCTACCGCCAGCTGTTCCACCCCGAGCAGCTGATCAGCGGCAAGGAGGACGCCGCCAACAACTTTGCGCGCGGCCACTACACCATTGGCAAGGAGATCGTGGACATCTGCCTGGACCGCATCCGCAAACTGGCCGACAACTGCACGGGCCTGCAGGGCTTCCTGGTGTTCAACGCCGTGGGCGGCGGCACCGGCTCCGGTCTGGGCTCCCTCCTGCTGGAGCGCCTGTCGGTGGACTACGGCAAGAAGTCCAAGCTGGGCTTCACCGTCTACCCCTCGCCCCAGGTGGGGTGGGTGCAAGGGAGAGGGGAGGTGGAGATGGTCGGCGGAGGACGTGCCTTGCCTCAACGCTTGTCCGCTCACAGTCTACATCACTCGCCAGAACGTCTGATTCCCCTTTCCACCCCACAGGTGTCCACCGCGGTGGTGGAGCCGTACAACAGCGTGCTGTCCACCCACAGCCTGCTGGAGCACACCGACGTGGCGGTGATGCTGGACAACGAGGCGGTGTACGACATCTGCCGCCGGTCGCTGGACATCGAGCGCCCGACCTACACCAACCTGAACCGCCTGATCGCGCAGGTCATCTCCTCGCTCACCGCCTCGCTGCGCTTCGACGGTGCGCTGAACGTGGACATCACCGAGTTCCAGACCAACCTGGTGCCCTACCCGCGCATCCACTTCATGCTCTCCTCCTACGCCCCCGTCATCTCTGCGGAGAAGGCCTACCATGAGCAGCTGTCGGTGGCGGAGATCACCAACTCCGCCTTTGAGCCCGCCTCCATGATGGCCAAGTGCGACCCGCGCCACGGCAAGTACATGGCCTGCTGCCTCATGTACCGCGGCGACGTGGTGCCGAAGGACGTGAACGCGGCAGTGGCCACGGTGAAGACCAAGCGCACCATCCAGTTCGTCGACTGGTGCCCCACCGGGTTCAAGTGCGGCATCAACTACCAGCCGCCCACCGTCGTCCCCGGCGGCGACCTGGCCAAGGTCCAGCGCGCGGTGTGCATGATCTCCAACTCCACCGCCATCGCAGAGGTGTTCTCGCGCCTGGACCACAAGTTCGACCTCATGTACGCCAAGCGCGCCTTTGTGCACTGGTACGTGGGCGAGGGCATGGAGGAGGGCGAGTTCAGCGAGGCGCGCGAGGACCTGGCCGCGCTGGAGAAGGACTACGAGGAGGTCGGGGCCGAGTCGGCTGACGCCGACGACGACGAGGGCGACGAGTACTAGGGGGTTTGCGGGGGAAGAGAGGCAACGATGCGGGGAGCGGTGAGATCCCCCCCGGTCTCCTGGTCTCAACAACCACCCCCCTGACGCATGACTGCTGGTTGTAAGATACCACGCCATTGATGAACAGGGGGGCGCACACGCATGGGAGGCAGGGCACGAGCTTGCAGGCGTGCTCGCACGCAGACAGCATCACGTTCCTCGCTGGCGGGCGTGCCACGCCACGACGTCGGCGTAGGGCAGGGCGCCGCCGAAGACGTCCAGCGCGCTGCCCACCGTGATGTGCACGCGGCCCTTTCCAGCCGCCGCCACGCGATCAAGGTCGGCCTGGCCATGGGTGTTTGAGGGAGGGCGGGGGGGGGGTGGAGGTGAAGCCGGCCCTATGTCGACGGGGCCACGCGGCAGAGCCCCTGGACATGACCACCATGGTCGCAGCCATGCAGCCCACCCACCAGGGTGCGGGCGCCGCCGGCGTAGGTGCAGGGGATGGGCGACAGCGCGCCCAGCAGGCCCACCAGCTCCTCGTCGATGCCCAGCTGCTTGCCCTCCACATCCACGCCGTGCACCAGGAACTCCGCGCAGCGCGCGCCCAGCTGGCGCAGCGTGGCCTCACTGAGGAAAGGAGGAATGGAGAGCGACTTGGGGTGGGGAGCGGGGGGTCGTGGAGCACTCCGCCAAACATGCAGGGGAACTGTACTCGAGGGTCCTCCATGAAATTCAGGGCTTCCTGGCCCTGGAGCAGTGGTCAGACCTGGTCACCCTCCTTGCGGCCCTCTCCCTCCAGACTCACGTCACGGCAAGGTCACTGAAGCGCTGCCAGCGGTCAGTGACAACGTAGTACTGGCCGTCGTCCTTTTTCCTGCAGCTCAGGTCTAGCACCAGGCGGTCGCTGCCAACAGCCTCGACCTGAAGCAGAGAGGGCATGCGGAGGAGGTGAGGGGTGCATTGCGCCTCCGTCGACGAACATCCCATTTGGTGCTGCCGTCTGCGCTAGCCATCGTCCGCGCAGTCTGCCACCAGGAAGGCAGACCTTGATGACACGCCCGCCCCGCCCCCCCCCCCCCCCCCAAACCTCAAACGCAACCACCCACCAGGCCGGCCAGGCGTCGCTCATTCAGCCTGCCCTCCTGGAAGACATAAGAGGTCACAATCACGTGGCTGGCCCCAGCCATCAAGTAGCGTGCAGCGTTCTCCGCGGTGACCCCGCCGCCCAGTTGGAGGCCACCTGGGTAGGCCTGCAGCGCCTCGATGGCCGCCCGCTCGTTGGCTTCGCTGGCGCCCAGCATGATGACATGGCCGCCAGTGAGGTTGTCGCGCGCAAAGAGCTCAGCAAACCAGGACGACGGCTGGGTGGCCACGAAGTTGGTCTTCAGCTCGGAAGCGGCGCTGCAGGGTGGCATTGATGGAGAAAGGGGGGGTCTAATGGAGGTCTGCAAAGTCTTGGGAAGGTACCTGTGTGAGATCCGCATGCACTCGTACAGCATCGCTTGTCCATTATAAGACGAATACATAGAATCCAAAAGACGGAGTTCAGACTCTCACCCTTCACCGTCCTTGAGGGAGGAGCCCACGATCTGCTTGACGGAACCCTGCAGCCGTGTACACGGAGGGTTGGCTAGCAAACCAGTGCTCAGAATCACAATGCTGCATAGGATGCCCATTCGCACCCCCCCGCTCACATCGTGGATGTCAATGCATGGTCTGAACTGGGTTCCACTAGCCGTGATGTGGCTGCATCGAGGCCGCGCTTGACATCGCACTGGGACCTTGGAGGTAAAGGGACGGTCGGCAGGAGAAAGTCGGGTACCTGCACACAGCGCTGCCCCAGTGGATTTCATTCTTACTCTAGAACCATGCTGAGTATCTCCATATTTGCATGCGTGCACTTGGCTGGTGATGGGAGAGGTTGGGAACGACAAGGGCCTGCAACCTGCTGTGGTCCGTGTTCCGGTGTGGGCGCGAGTTCGTATTATATCATGCGAGCCCTTTCCACCGTAGCTTGTAGAGGAGCCCTTGAGACCAAGAGTACTGCGTTTTATATGAGAACCAGCTTACAGATGTAAAATTTTGAACCTTTGAGCGGACCAGCTCTCGCTGGCCAGGCCTCGCCATGCCGGCCAAGGCCAAACGCAACTCGAGCAACCAACTTGAGAGCCTGGCCACACCCAAGAAGCCCATCAAGCCCGGTGCATACGGTTTGAGACAGGATGGCTCTGTGCTGCACGCCACGCTGCCTCCTGGGAAGGTGAGGCACGAAGCATGGATGCTCCTTGTGTAGGTGCAGGCTAGCAAGGTACGCTAGTGCAGGGTGGCGTTCGCAATGACATCATCAAATATTCCTACTCTTCCCACCTCCACGACAGCCCCTCGTGTTCCTCGGGGAGGCTGTGCTCCATGTCATGCGAGGCAGGGCGCTCTTCAATGGGTGAGGGGGTCAAGAATGTGCATGTGCGGGTGCCTAATGTACTCTTCTGACCCCCGCTATGTCCGTCACCTTCACTGTGAACCTTTGTGTGTCTTAAAGCGGCAATCAATTCAATTCTCTGATCAGCATGCATCCATATCGGCACACATACCCACAGTGCGACCCTCGGCTCAGGCAGCGTCTGCTCGATCGCTGCGGATGCAGTGAACAGCGGCCCGCTCCTCATCAGCCAGGCGGCCGAGGGCAATCACTTTCCCTTTGCGCCCACGGCGTCCGTCCTCTACCTGCAGCTGCGACCCCTGCCCGCAGAGCAGCGGCTGAGCGGGGGCTTGGGGTCGACCACTGCTGCGCGCATGGCGGACGATGTCGGCTACCAAGCCTGGCTGCACAACGACCCCTCCGCGCCCGGCTGCCTTGCCACCCCCGACATCTGGTCGCAGGCGGTGGAGGAGATGGCGGGCCTGGCCTACCCTGGGGCCGTGTACGCCGTGGTGGGCTCCAAGAAGGTGGGGAAATCCACGCTGGGCAGGCTGCTGGTCAATGAGCTGCTGAGCACGCACAGTAGCGTGGCCTACCTGGAAACAGGCGAGTTGTGATGCATGGATGTGGAATGAATGGAGGGGAGAATGCATGAACACGGTGACTCCCAGACAAGGCCCACCGTGTCAGGAGGGCTCACCGTTTCAGTCCCCTGAGGTGGCCTGGATGCTCTCACTCCACACATCGCACAAGGTGTCACAACAACCAACGAACTCAGCCTGGATCAGCGCATCCACGCACGCAGACTGCGGCCAGCCGGAGTTCGGCCCGCCCGGCCTGGTGTCGCTGAGCCTCGTGTCCCGTCCCCTGACGGGCCCGCCCTTCCTGCACCCGGCCCACCCCCCGCTGGCCTCCTACTTCGTGGGAGACGTGTCCCCCGCCAGCCACCCCCAGCGCTACGCGGCCTGCGTGGCGGCGCTGCGCGCCGCGCTCGGCGCGCTGGCCCCCGACGCGCCGCTGCTGGTCAACACCCATGGCTGGACGCGCGGCGCGGGGCTGGAGGCGCTGCGCGATCTGCTCGCCGCCGCGCGCCCGGCCTGCGTCGCCCACGTCTCCTGCGGCGACCCGCGCCGGGACCTCCCCCCCGGCGCGTGGTGGGCGGAGGAGGGCGCCCCGGACGCCGCGCACGCCCCGCCGCTGCAGCCCCGGATCTGGCTGCTGCCGCCGTTGCGCGGGCCCGGCGCTGTCGGGCCCGCCTCCCCCGCCGCGCCGCGACCGGGCGGCGAGGACCCCGGGGGTGCCGCGCCGCGCCCCGGCGCGGCGGCCGTGGACCTGCGCGGCGCGCAGTGGGCCTCCTTCGCCCGCCGCTGTGCGGCCGCCATGGGCCAGGGCGGGGCCCTGGCCCATGGCGCGGCGCCGGGCGACGCGCTCGCCGCGGCCGTGCCGTACGAGGCGGCCTGGGACGACCTGCGCCTGGAGTCCCTCTTCACGCGGCCCCTCGCCGCCGACCAGGCTGCGCGCGCACTGAACTGCAGCGTGGTCGGGCTGTGCTGCAGCGGGGCGCCTCCTGGTGGCGGCGGGGGGGGGGGCGAGGCGGATGGGGGTTGCAGAGCCGCAGGAACGGATGGCGATGGCTCGGAGGGCGCCCGGGCGCAGTGTGCATCACGAGAAGACGCAGTGCCGCTGCTTGCCGAGGCTGCAGTACGAGCACCGAGAGCCCCCCGCACCCTGCTGGGGCCGCGCTGCCTGGGCGTCGGCATCGTCCGGGCCGTGGACGGCGAGCGGCGGCGGGTGCTGCTGCTCGCCCCCCTGCCGCCCGCTGAGCTGGCGGGGGTGGACACCCTGCAGCTGGGGCGGCTGGAGCTGCCGGGGCCGCTGCTGCAGACACCCGGCGCCCGGGCCCCCTACATGTCCGTGCACTGCCTGCCCACCCTGGGCACGGGGGCGGGCGCCATCCGGAGCCGGAACAACCTGGCCCGGGCGCGGCAGGCGGACCGGGGCGACTGACCGACGAGTGAATGCAGGCCTGGCACTGACTGACTCTGACCCCGACGCGGCGTTGCATAGCGTACATGCACGGTACACGCCCTGTGAAAGGGAAAACAGCGCCGATGGGGGGTGCAGCGCAGGCAGCAGCAGGGTGCACCAGAGTGTACGCCCTCGTTTCGTTCGTGCGTGGCCCACGCTCCTTCGCTGGCACGCCCCGCCCGCAAGCCATCGAGAGCGCTGAAGAGTACAGGGGTTGGTCCCCAATGACTGTTGGTGCGTCCTCGGTACGCTCCCACCCTCCGAGAGACGATCACGCGTTTGCTGGGTCCCTCGAGCCCACAGGCTCGCCCGCCACTCTCACTCCCCGGGCCGGGGCACCGCCTCCCAGTCGGAGGGGGTGTTGGAGGTGTCGGAGTCCCAGTCCGGGGCCACGCCGTGGCCGCTGCTCCCCGTCTGCGTCCCCGGCGCATCCCCCCGTGGCCTGTTGTCCGCCTGCCCCGCAAAGAGGTCGTAGAAGAAAGCCTGCAGGGCGGGCCAGTACTCCCGCCGGGCGACGATGTAGGCGTCCATGTGCGTCGCCTGCGGGAAGGTGAGCATGCGCCACGGCGTCCTGCCGTGCAGGGCGTACAGGCGCTGCATCTGGGACGGCGGCAGCATCTCGTCCTGCGGCGGCCGGGTGGAAAGAGGAAATGGACGTGAGGGTTTTCCGCTGCACGTCCAGGGCCATGAGCCTCAGGGTTTTGCACGAGGCTGGTTGCGGCTGCAAGGACGCGTAAAGCCCATGCATGGGTTCCTTCCATCGCGCGCGACGGGGGGGGGGGGTGGCTTGCGAGGACAGTGAGACCCTACTGGGACCCCAGGTTCGACCCCGCCCCGACACCGCACCCTCAGAGAGGACAGGAACAGGATGGGGGTGCCCGTGAGGTGCTTTGCTGCGCTGACGTTGTCCCACCTGCTCCTGAGCAGCCAGTTGGCACACCTGCACGGAGTGCCATGGGTATTGTGATGTGATGGGAATAGCGACGCATCTTGTGAATGCTGGGATCTGCCCACGCTCTGACGTCATGCGAGCAGGGCAGTCCATCGACCTCAGAACCCAGTACATGCATGCTCGCGTCCCTCACCGATTGGGCCCAATGAGGAAGCCCAGGAACGGGATCTTGAGCGGGACGATGTCCTCCAGGGAGGTGAATGTGTTTTCGATGATCAGGCCCGCGATCTGAGACATTGGTGATGACATACTGAGTCCAGCAAGAGTATGGAAACGCAGCAAAGTTCACGCCGACCATGGGATCAACCCCGCCTCTATTCCCAGACCCCAGGCAGCGTACCTTGACGGTGGTGGCGGCTGCAGCGTGGAGGGCCACTGCGCCGCCGATGGACCTCCCAAACACAACCAGCTTGGCGGGGTCAACGTCGGCCCGGGCAGCCACGTGCTGCAGCGCCACCTCGGCGTCCATCTGGAAGCCGCGCTGACTGGGCGCGCCGCCGCTCTCGCCGTACCCGCGGTACCCCAGGATGAAGACGTTGACCTGCAGCAGGTCGGCCAGGGGACCTAGGAAGTGCAGCCTGTGGGGAGAGGGGCAGGGTGGCAGAGTGTGGTGGGAGGTGGGCAGGGTGGCAGAGTGTGGTGTGAGGTGGGCAGGGTGGCAGAGTGTGGTGGGAGATGGGCAGGGGGCATAACTTGGACACCGAAGGTTGAGACCATGGAGGTGTTGACGTCCTCAGACAAGGAGTTGGGTCCCCCTTGGGAACAGGTGGGCATGCAAAAAAACCCACATCCCCAACTTAACCCCTATTCCCTCCCCTCACCGGTACGACATGTTCCCCGCGTTCTCCTGGAAGAACACGACCGTGGGTCGCCGGCGGCGCTGCTCCGGGGTCAAACCCTTGAGCCACATGAACCAGGCGTGCAGCCGCACGCCATCTGGGACCGAGAGCCACACGTCCTCATGCTCCAGTCCAAACTCGGCTGGGAAGAACTGGTAGGCAGCAGGCATGCCAGGCAGGCGCGGGACGTATATCTGTGGTATGAGATGGAGCAGGAGGGCGTTATGAAGGGAAGGGGGCAACGAGGGCGGCCGTTCCGGCTCGACAGCACCTCCCATGGCCAGGGCACCCCTCACCAGCTTCTCCTGGAAGTAGACGAGGGCAGCAAGCAGCGCGAGCGTGACGCCCGCCCCCTGGATGGATACATTGGAACAAATGAAAAATTGCAGGTTTTGTATGGCATCTAGATCGCGTGCTTGCCTGCCAGCACTCACCATGCTACCAACTTTGAGGGCCCACCCTGCCCAGTCGAAAGCCATTGTGATCGTCTCGTGCGAGGATAAACAAGTCCCCAAAGGTGATTATCAGGGCGTGAGCAGCATATTTATGTTCCCTTTCCCGATATTGGACCTTGAGATCGCTCTGATTGTGCATGGCCTTGCGGGCATTCGTCGTCCCACCGACATGGACGTGGGTCGGAACCCCTGGAGAGCATGCCCAGCACGGTCGCACCCCTGCGGCCAATTTGAAGGACAGGTGTGGGCCCCCCTCGCTGCACCCAGCCCGCTCGACTGACCATTCATGCAAGCCCTAATCCATGCGAGATACACACAACAGCTTCTACCATTGGAGCTGGAGGCTGTGCATGACATGGGAAGTGTGCCCTTGCTAAATGCCTCCTCTGTCGAAACCTGACGGAGGAATCCCCTTCGCCGAGCATCCACACCAGTTTGACTCCGGCGTGCCGTGACATATCCACATAATGGCGGATCCAAGGGTGCAGGCCGCGTTTCAGGAGCACATGCAGCGCCTGCTGAACCCCGTCGTGCTTCAGATTCAGTGTGGGAGCTGCCATAAAAACGTCGACAGTGCGTGCGGGAGAGGGGTTGATGGCGCTGAGATCCTCGTGCCAGCATGGGGCTTGTGTCGTGTCTAGAGAAGCCCCTTGCTGTTGCCTAGGAAGCCCTGTCTCCGGAGGAACACCCAGCACCCGCACCCCCACCTCCCAGTCTTGGTGGGGAAGCTGTTGGTGGTGCTGGCAGACAAGGAGTATGTCTGCCCCCACTGCTCCACAAGTCAGCGACTGGATATAGACCTCGAGCGCGAAAAGGATGTGCGCTTCCGGGCCACGCGCATTGTGTACAGTTCGCGGCTCGAGTTTTCGAGGTTGCAGGTGTGGACGGGGTGCTCCCCGGGACAGGCGCAGGGGCCTGAGGCCTGTGGGAATGGGGCGCGGGCGTGGGGAGACAAGGCCTGTTGGATCGGCTGCTGCCGACAGACGTTGTGCGGTGCCCACCTGTGCGATGTGTCAGCCCCCACTCCATGCTACAGGAGGCTCTGCGAAAACACGCCCAAGCTCAGGCCGCGGGAGCCCAGGCAAATGGAAGTCAGGCAGGTGCACCCACCCCAGCCGAGGCCGGGCCTGCCAGGGCTCAGCCCACCGTACCTCCAGCTGTCCTCCAGCAGGTACCATGCCTCTGGGCGTGCAGTCGGGGTCCGGCTGTCCATGGGCTCCCTGGGTGCCAGTCAGCAGAGCATGAGGCCGCGATGTTGGTCGATGTCCCACTCTGTGGACTCCTGCCCACGCCATCCCAGTGGCCGCTCACCCTTGCCAGGCTGTCCCGGGTGCCCAGGAAAGGCAGGAGAAGGAGGAGGATGTCGAGCTTGAGGATGTCGGTCACCACGCCGAGGATGGGGAGGTCTTCGAGGTGGGAAGTAGGTTTGTGTGCCAGGATTTCTGGCGGTGCACGCTTGTGGTGGCGGGTTCCACCCTCCCCTTCTGGGCTCCATCTTCGTTATTTACCAGCCCTCAGAGGGCTGGCGATCCTGGATTCATGAGTGCTGACGAGGCGCAACCCTTGCTGCTGCCCCCGCACGACGCCGCTCGCAGCTTGGCATGAACCCTTTTCGCCAACCCCCCCCCCCGCGCAGACCTACCAGCCGGCCAAGCTCCCCTACGGCTTCCCCCACCCCGACCCAGTGGTGGAGACGTCCTCTCTGTCCGCAGTGCCACCGCCTGACGTCAAATACAGCCTCGGCGCCCATCCAGAGCTGGTGGACGCGGGGGTGCTCTCGGCGCTGCAGCTGGAGAGCGTGGTGTATGCCTGCCAGCGCCACGAGCAGGTCATTCTTCCTTTTTTGTGTGGGGGCGAAGGAATTAGGGGAAAGAGGAAACCCGGTCCTGGCAACTAGGGATGGGCATATCTGCATGTGACGGTGGGAGGCTGGGGAAGGGGTTACCATGAAACACGATGATGGGGTGCATGCCTTTGTCCTGTGGCCGCATGGCACCCCCCCCCCCCGCCCAAAGCATACAGCATCCATCCATCCTCGTAGCACCGCGCCCCACGCCGCACTTCCATGCTCCATCCCTCTCTCCCCTCCCCCCTCGCAGCTGTTGCCCGACGGCTCCCGCTGCGGTTTCTTCATCGGGGACGGCGCGGGGGTGGGCAAGGGCCGGACCATCGCCGGGCTGATCCTGGAGAACTGGCGGCGCGGCCGGCGGCGCCACCTCTGGCTGACCATTGGGCCGGACCTTCGGGTGGACGCGCGGCGGGACCTCGACGACGTTGGAGGTCGGTGTGCACTTGGGCCTGGCTCCCGCCTGGCGTGGAGGGTGATGGGGAGGAGGGGCAATGGGGTCGGCATGGGCCGGAGGGAGCCGCCTGCAGTCTTGTTTGGGACCAGCTGGGCATTCACCTACGCACATTCACCTCCCACACCAACCGGCAGCCACCGAGATTCCTCTGCACTCGCTGAACAAGCTGCCCTACGGCAAGCTGGACTCCAAGCGCATCGGCATCAAGGAGGGTGTTGTGTTCCTGACCTATGCCTCTCTCGTCTCCCAGTCTGACAAGGTGAACCTGCAGGGCCAAGGGCATAGGCTTCCTGATATGCCGTTTCTTGACTCCTGTGTGGGGCTAGAGTCGAGGTCAAAGGTGCTGCATGGATGATGCAGGGCCAGCCAAGGTCGCCAGCAGTTGTGGCGAGCCGATGGATGAGGCCATGCCACGCCCGATGACATGCCAGCCCCTCACCCTCAAGCTCTCGCGCCCATGACGCAGCTTCAATCGCGGTACAAGCAGCTGGTGGAGTGGTGCGGGAAGGACTTCGACGGCCTCATCCTGTTTGACGAGAGTGAGTGTGTGGGGAGGCGGCTTGGGCAGGGGTAAAGATGTGCTGCCGGGGCTGGAGATGGGCTAGGCAGTGTGAAGGTTTCACGGGGGCATGGCCGTCGAGGCGCCAGGCAGAGGAGCACAAGCTCGGCCCTTGCCTGCCACGGAGCATTTGCCCAGGCCCATGCGCATACTCCCGCCCCGGCCTCCTGCTCGCCCTCAGGTCACAAGGCCAAGAACCTGGTGCCAGAAGCAGGGACGCGCGCCACCAAGGTGGGCCTTCAAGTGAGCAACCTGCAGGCTGCTCTGCCGCTGGCGAGAGTGGTGTACTGCTCGGCCACTGGAGCCTCCGAACCACGCAACATGGGGTGAGTGGGTGGTTGGGTGGAGAGGTGGTGCTTGGAGTGCAATGGGTTGAGGGCCTCCACCGCCTTCCTGACGTCTGCCGCTGGCCAACCTAATTCCCTTTCTGAGCGAGTAGCAGTCACGCCGGCATCGAGCACCCTCGGCCATCCCTTGCCATGTAGGTACATGGTCCGGCTGGGACTGTGGGGTCTGGGCGGCTCTGCCTTCCCCACCTTTGCCAAGTTTCTGGAGGCCGTGCAGGTGGGTGCGAGAACCGCAGGGTCTGAATTTGAAGGGTTTGTGTTATGACCAGGGCTCTGCGGTTGAAGGGGCCAACACCCGGGTTGGCCTGCATACCTTTGGGATCCCCTTCAGACCCTTGGCCCCAGGTCCTCGGGGCGCTCCGGGCTCCCATTCCCTCCACCAGTGCTCGCTGTGTTCAAGCCCCTTCCTCTCCCAACTTCCCAATAATAACAAACAAACTCCCCTCCTTCACACACACAGGGCAAGGGGACCCAGGCGGCCAACATGGCCACCCTGGAGCTCGTCGCCATGGACATGAAGGCGCAGGGCATGTACGTCTCGCGCACGCTCTCCTACGCCGGCTCCGAGTTCCTCACCGTGACGGTGCCCTTGGAGGAGCCCGTGGCCTCGCAGTACGCTGATGCTGCTCGCATGTGGCTGGAGCTGTACCGGGAGTTCATGTATGCGGAGGAGCAGGTGCGGCCTCTCCATGTTTTTGGAAGAGGGGGGAGGAGGAGGGTATTGCCATTGCAGAAGGGACACGCTGCAGTACAGGTCTGGCACTCATCATCCGAGCAGTCGAAACCGGGGCCCCCTTCACCCCACGCGTGCGCAGCTGGAAGCGCTCGGGCCCACGGGACTGGCCAAGGTGGACACGAAGAAGGGGTCGGGCCTGCAGGACGCACGCACACTGCGCCTGCGTGCCTTCTGGGGCTCCCACCAGCGCTTCTTTCGCTACATGTGCATGGCTGCCAAGGTGAGCGACGCAAGTGGCTTTGAGGGAGGATGGGGAAGGCCAGGCGAGACACTGTAGGGTCCTGCCGGCAGGGCTCGCGTGCTTGAAGCACCGGCATCCCGAGAAGTAAGCCTGGGAACCCCGCGGCCCCAAACGAGACCCGCTTTCCCCCTCGCTGCCACGCGCCGCAGGTCCCTGCCGTCGTGCGCATGTCCAAGGCGGCGGTGGAGGAGGGCAAGTGCATCGTCATCGGGCTGCAGTCCACGGGGGAGGCCCGCACCAATGACGTGGTGGCGGAGAAGGGAGACGAGCTCGATGACTTTGTGTCAGGTGTGTTTGGCGAAAGAGGGGAGTAGGGCGTGTGGCGTGCCGCTCCCCGACGGGTAGAGTGGGTATAGGGGCCTGGCCATCCACGCGACTCTCTTAGGGCAACTCGAGGGTGCTTGGCTCCCCATGGAGATGCATATTCAATCCCTCTATTTCCATGCGCACAACCCTCTTTGATCCTCCCTCCTTGCTGCCTACCATGCTCTCCCTCCCCAACCCCAGCTGCATCACCCTTTCCTGCCACCCGATTTTCCTCTTTCGCGCTTTCCAGGCCCCAAGGAGCTGCTCTCGCGGCTCGTTACAGAGTACTACCCCATGCCAGCCAGCCCCGCGCTGTGGGACCAGGAGGACGGTGCGTCGCAGCTGATGATCATAGAACTAAGGGAGCGCGAGGGTGGGTGATGCTTGCATGGCCCGTCTGCCCCTCAGGCTCTTCACTGCACCAGTCCTCCCTCACCCAACGCAGAATCGGACCTGGGATCCGACGAGGAGTACCACGGCCGGAGCGCCAGCGAGGGCCTCCAGCGCTCCGCGACGGAGGGCAGGGAGATGGTGGGGCGGACCGCCAAGGCCAAGCCGGTGAGGTACAAGGAGTTTGGCGAGGACGAGGGCGTGCACTCTGAAACATCCATCTCTGAGGAGGACAGCGACTCGGAGGAGGATGGCTCGGACTCGAGCGATGTGCTGTCGTCTTCCCTGTCCTCCCTGATGGAGGGCGAGCCGTCGCAGCCGCCCAGCAAGCGTCCGCGCAGGGTGAGGGGATATGGTGCCGGCGGTTGTGTGAGTGGGGTGACCTGGCAAGCAGGATGCTTGCCTCCTGGCCAGTCGGCGTCTGGGTAGGGTGTCGACGTGTGGGTGGAGGGGTCTCCTGCTCACCCTGCACGTGTCTGGCAGGTCACCAGACGCCCTGTAAGCAGCATGTGCTCCCTGGATGATGACCGATATCGTCCTTCAACTGATGGCCACCCCTCGGACCCACTGTCGCTACAGTCATCCGTCTCGGAGGCCTCCGTCTCGGGCAAGGACTCTGGTGACGGTAAAACTGAGAACACCTCCGGAGAGGAGGAGGAGGAGAGTGAGGAGAGTGAGGCCGAGATCGGTCTCGAGTCCGACTCTGAGAGCTCCAAGCAGGGCGTCAGTGAGGAAGACAGCAAAGAAACCCCTGAGGCAGCAGCCAAGGTGCTGGGCGGGGTGTGGGTGTTTGCCCTGGCTGGCAATTGGGGACCTAAAGTCCTTGGTCAAACTTATTCATGCCATCATATGCTTGAGGGGCACCAGGCACTGCTGCCTCCTTCCACTTGGCGCTCGTGCCAATCCGCTCCTGCGTCGGCATGTGGCCCCCGCCCATGCATGGCCGACACAGGAGATTCCCACCGAAAGGCCCCCCTTCTTCTTGCTTCGCTCTGTAGAGGCAGGAACAGGCGGCGCTGGCCATCCTGCGCCGGGAAAAGTTTGCCGCCGCCCACGCTACGGCACTGGAACGGCGCGAGTCCATCCTGGCGGCTGTGGGGAACCTGGGCCTCCCCAACAACCCCCTGGACGTGCTGATCGACGAGCTGGGGGGGCCGGAGAAGGTGGCGGAGATGACGGGGAGAAAGGGTCGCCTTGTGCGCTCTAAGTCGTCTCGCACGGTCACGTACGAGGCGCGTAACGCCTCGGGCGTCGAGAAGGGTGCGCAGGAGTATTGCTGTCTGGATGTGGTGGCCTCCCTGTGTGGCAGGGAGTGTCTGCCAGGGCTGAAGTGCAGTGGACGCTGGGGTCGGCAGGGCTGAAGTGCAGAGAGACATGGGCCTGGGTGGCCCAGGCTTTCTGTGATGGAAAGGTGCAAGCCCCTGGTCCCATGTGTCGTTTCGAGTACACATCCTGACTTTCCCTCCTTGGGATGATGGGAATCTCAAACAACCCCTCCCCTCCTTTCCTGCAGGCGCCACGCTAGAGATGATCAACATCCATGAGCGCCAGTCCTTCATGGCCGGGGAGAAGCTGGTGGCCATCATCAGCGAGGCCGCCTCCGCCGGCATCTCCCTGCACGCCGACCGGCGTGCAGGGAATCAGCGCCGGCGCGTGCACCTCACCCTGGAGCTGCCCTGGTCGGCGGACAAGGCCATCCAGCAGTTTGGGCGCAGCCACCGCGCCAACCAGGCCTCGGGGCCGGAGTACAAGCTGGTGGTCACGCCCCTGGGCGGGGAGGCGCGCTTTGCCGCCGCCGTGTCGCGCCGCCTGGAGACCCTGGGTGCCCTGACCCAGGTGTGAAGAGGGTGCTGTGTCTCGGGTGGGGGGGGCCCGAGTGCGTCACAGGGGACAGGAAAACCTTACGTATATGTTCTCAGGCAAGTGCAGTCCATGGGAGAGGCGGTCACGACAGGCGTACATGGGGTGCTTGCCTGGGGTTCCCACGCAGGAGGGGCACATGAATTTCAGATGGTGTGGCCTGGCGGTGCCGCGCCCATCGCCAGCCAACCCACTTCCAGCCACCCTTTCCCTCCCCCTTCCACCTACAGGGCGACCGCAAGGCCGGCCCCGGGAACCTGGGGTTCAACTACGAGTCGCGCGCCGGGCAGCAGGCACTGAGGACCATGTACAGCGTCATCCTGCAGCAGTCACACAAGCCCGACCTGCTCCCCGAGACCTGCCGGGAAGGTGGGTGCCAGGGCGGGGTGCGAGCCGGGGACGTGGGCTGGTGACGGCGGCAGGTCATCGTTGCGGGACCTACCGGTGCGCTCCCCTTTTGGGGGGCAGCCTGCCTGCCATGCACTGCGTGGTCGGGGGGTGCTGGCGGGGAGTGGATCCAGGTGGGCCTGTGCCCTGCGGCGGGAGCTCCTCATGGTTGGGCTCTGCATGCATGCGCCATCAGGAGGCGTCCACCGTGGGGCAACTCCACGTGCCCCTCTCCCGCTTGCCCTCGGCCCATTCTCGAGTGCAGCCGCTCTCGTCGACTCCCCTCCCACCCATCTCCTCACACTCCCCAGCCCACCCCACCCTGTGTGCCGCACCAGGCCCCGACGGCGAGCCCCCCGCGGTACCTGCGGAGCACTACCTCGGCAGGCTGCGGGCGTACCTGCTGGCGGTGGGCATCCTGCGACTGGGTCCCTTCCGTTCATCCGGGCCCGGTAAATCTCCGGCCCAGGAGGAGCACCCGCTGTCCTCTGCCATCCAGAACTTCCTGGCATCTGACATTGGCGTGCCCCGCAGGCTGGGCCAGATCGAGGAGAGGGACCGCTCTGACGTGCCCCGCTTCCTCAACCGCCTGCTGGGTCTGGCCCCGGTCCAGCAGCGCCAACTGTTTGACATGTTCCAGGCGGCACTGGAGCTGCACGTGCGGGAGCAAGGCCGGGCGGGGACGCTGGACGTGGGCACGCAGACGCTAAGCGCCACGCGCGTGCGGCTAGAGCCCGACCCGGTCCAGCTGTTCAGGGTGAGAGGTGGGGTTCTAGTGTGCAGAGCTCAAGGGGGGGGGGGTTTGTGACAGGTACTTTGACTCTGGCGTGCCGCCGTGGTTGCCACATGGGGGACGACAAATGAGACCGGCCTGTGTGACGCATGGAGCCAGCGCGCATCGTCAGAGCACGGCCTCAGCAACACACGATCGAGCACACCGGGTCCCCATTGTTGCAGGATGAGGCCAGTGGGGCGACGGCCTTGCTGCACACTGTGCATTTAGATCGTGGCATGAGCTGGGAGGCCGCCGAGCGCATGCTGGCCGCACACAAGGGCGGCGAGGATGGCACCTCGCCCGGAGCGCCAGACCCGCGCTCGCCGGCCAGGGTGGATGCAGGGGCTCCCGCCGTGCCATCGGGGCCGCAGAGGGCCGTGTCACCAAGGGAGCAAGCCGGCGCGAGACCCAGGCAGCCAGTGGCCGGCGCCAGCCCCGGCTGCAGGGCTGCACGGGCGGGCACTGGCGCGAGCCGCCGTGGCGAGGATGCGAGCGAAAGCCCCACAAACGCGGCGAGCAATGGTGAGCCAGAGTGTGGAATGGGGGAGCTTGCCGTGTTGGCCTGTGATGGCTGGCATAACGAGCTTCGGGTGCGGGACTTGCCAAGGGAGTCTCGGGCTGGATCTGCAGCTGCGCGCCCCATCACACAGGTGCCATGCCCCCTCTTCTCTCAGGGGCAAGCGCATCGGCAGCAGTGCACGCCATGGGCGAGAGCGGCTACTACCAGTCCGGCCACCCGGGGTCAAAAGGGGGCGTGCACGTCATGCTCGCGCTGCGCATGCACGGCGCCTTCCCCGCCGCCTTCAAGATCGTCAGGCCCACAATCGGCAGGCTGGCCCAGCCCTTGGCACTCTCGGTGAGCGTGCTGGGCGGGTGGGGGCGGCTGCAAGCCTTCCACAGGCTGTCCAGCGCTGGCGGCGAAGATTGAATGAGGGAATGTCTGGAGCCAATACAGGCAGGGGAAGGCTGCCAATGATCTCGGGTGACCCCTGGATCAGGTGCAAGTCTCAACACATCACACGCGCGCTTCGACCGACTAGCCCACCCGCCCCCTCCCCAGGACCTGCGATTCAAGCATGAGCCACTCTCTGCGAAGGCCGCCAGGACCCTGTGGCTCAAGGCGTTTGTGGCAGCTAGCCAGGCTTCAGAGAATCGAGAGGCGCTGCGCTTCCGCAGGGCCCACGTGGTGACGGGGTCGGTGCTGCGCTGCTGGCGACCCATGCAGGACGCCCTCGGCAAAGACCAGGACTCCGTGCGCCGACTGAGGCTGGTGCGGGTGTCCACCACCGACGACCCCCCAGAGCGCATCGTGGGGATGCTGGTTCCCGAGCAGCAGCTGGAAAAGTTGATGACGACCATGGCGCCCGGCGTCAAGCTCAGCGATGCAGCGGCACACCCCTGGGCGGAAGAGGCGGCGGGGGAGGACGTCTCCCCTGACGACGAGGATGAGGAGATGGCAAGGGCGTGATGCTGGACCTGGCTCCAGTGGTCTGTGAACCCCGGCTGGACAAGACGGGTCAACCAAAGGACCCCTCGGGCCCCCCCACGTGCCCGGCTCCCGCGCCTTCACGGGCTTCGTTGTGCATTCTCGGATGGTGCTCAACCGCTCCAGCCCCGCCCTACGAGGTTATCAGTGCGATATGCAGGCATGCTGCCGAACATCTAGCTTGAGCAGGGGGCAAGAATCGGGATCTGCTTTTGGACCTGGAGCGAGGGGAGCAGAATGTCGCAGGGCCCAGGCGGGAAGGAACCCTCCCAGCGGCAGGCTGAGATCGAGGCAGCGGCCGAGGCCACTGCGGTGGCTGTGCATCGATTCTTGGTGGAGATTAATCGGGCCGTCGGAACGTTGCGAGAGGATCTGGACGTCGCCACCGAATGTGCGGTCGCTGGGAGGAGGTTAGGGGGTGGTGGCTAAACCGACGCTTGCGAGTAGGGGACGCAGGCCCCATGTGATGTGCCGCGTCCCCCTCGATGGTTAGATTAGCGCATACATTCCAATTCATGGTGCGTACATTCACTCTCTCCCCCCTTTGCCCTCGCAGATGCGCAGCCGTTCCCGTTTCCCCTGTCTCAGTTCGGCGTGGCCAGGCAGTCCCCCGGGGAGGTGGCAAGCGAGCAGGTTGAACCCCCGCCGGCATGGCACGGAGCAGCCATGGAAGCGCAGGATCAAGGTCTGCCTGGGCTCAAGAGCAACCGACAAAAGGCTACCGCATGGGTGAGGGATGACGAGAGCACGCCCCGCCCAACAGATAGACCTCCAGAGGGACATGCCTCGAAGCGGAACCGACCAGATTAGGCAATTACAGCGCGTGAGTGCGCCCCTCAAGAGCGCAAGATATGGTGCAGCTGAAAATCAGGGCCCTGAAAGCAAGTTCATACGTCTGGTATCCCCTGCTGGGCAGCGTGGGAGCCCCTGGATCCCAGAAGATGCATGGCCCCAGCTGCCACTCCTCTACTGCCCATCCAGCTTGTCCAGCCTCTCTGATTCCTTGTTGGCCGCATTCACCGCTTTAACGAAGAGGAATCCTGCGGGTTCCAGGGACCAGTTGAGAGTTGGGGGGGCTGAGCATGGCACCAGGATGCAACGACAAGAAGGCACGAATGAGCACCATCCAGTGACGCCTGATAACCTCACTGACCTGCTGAGGGGAGGCCCGTGACCGCAAAAAAGAGGAGGATGGGCGCCCAGAGGGGCGACTCTGGGGGAATCAAGCCGAACAAGTCCTTCTTGTTTGCAAACTCGAAGATGGACCCGACCTGCGCGGCAGAAGGATGAGATGGACGTGGCACATACTCAAGGGGAGCCAGGTGGGATCTTGCCCAGGAGGCTGCACAGTGGAGCACGATGCTTGCAGCGGCCTGCTCCTGTACAGTCCCCGACCCACCCACTCACTGCAGCTATCGAAACGATTGCAGACCCAAGCAGGTACACTCCAAATCCTAAACTGGGGGTTCCCAAGCCAGCACCGGCGAACTTCTCGCTCCTGGCCCAGATGGGCTCCTCGTCTGCCTCCCCCTGCAACAGAGGACGGGCTTCGGGGTGGATCTTCATCGCAGGGTGAGGGCTTCCACATTCATGCTGGAGGGATTCCGAATTCCCAGCGCTGAGCCTCCTGTCATCCACATGCTTGCCCCTGACCTGCTTCGATCCGTTGCTTGGATCCGCTTTGATGGCCCAGGCAAGCCGCCTCGGCAGCGAGAGCGCCCTCCGGACCCTCAATGCGGGTGCGAGTTTGGGAGCGTACCCGAGTGCCGGCCGAACTCGCAATGACACGCTTGCGTGGCATGTGCCGCGGCAGGTCATGGAGGAGAAACTCATGATGTTATGTCCCTGAAGAGAATCAACAGTACGAAGTGTCCCGGAGTTGCACTGATTTTGGGTTGTCACAGCGAGGAACCTGCGGTAGATCCGATCGCATGGAGAGGAATGCGCGCGCAGGGAGGGGCCATCCACCCCCTCCTCTGTGATTGTGACTTTGCCCGTGGATGCACAACTCCCACATCCTTTCGTACTAGGGATTTAGCCAGGCTTGGATAGCATGAACACATATGATCCATGATCTGGCCATCCGTTAGTCCCATGGATGGCTTTGCGGGCCACTTCACCAGCACGGCTTGCGGGGCTCGAGTCTCCAACCTCCCTGCCTGGGCATCTTTCAGGTCTGCGAAGACCCTACCGCAGATTCGTCTAAATTCTAGGTCCCGATTCATCCAAGTAAGGATAGGTGCGGATCATCCAGTTGCCTGCAGCGCTGCATCGTGTCTGGAGCCCTTTTCGGCCAACCCCCCGGCCGGCACTGGGGACGCGACACCCAAATCCATCTGGGCATCCTCCATCTTGGGCGTCAGGCGGTGAGCCTGGATACATTCCTGGCTGCTTTTGGTGGTTTGCTGTGGGTCTGTGGCTTGGACGCCATGTCGTGAGTTTGAATAGGTGGCATTCCTGGGGATGTCCAGAGTTTGAACAAAGCCACACTGCACGCCATGTCAAAGCCCACCCAGCACCCATAGCCCTCCACACGCCTGCAGCCAATGGAGCAGCCGGGGATCCCTACTGCTGCAGGGCGCCGCACCCCTGCTTCTAGGGCAGCAGGTCCTGGGGGAGATGTGCACCAACCGCCTCCTGCTCATCGGCATGTTTGGCTGCTTCCTGGCCCAGTTCCTCAAGATCTTCACCAAGTGGCGGAAGACGGGCACCTTCTCCCTGATGGCCATCCTTGACTCTGGCGGCATGCCCTCCTCCCACTCCTCCCTCTGCTCGGTCAGTTGAGGGCCGGGGTTGTACCTGGGGGAGGTTGGCAGAGTGGCGTTGCATGCCTCATCCTCTTCTTCGCATTCCCCACCATTCTGCCCCACTGGATTCCCTGGACATGGTTTGAGCACTAGGAGCTACATGGCATTCCCAGCTTGGACAGAGCCCAGTGCCTCACCCATGCGCTTCCTCCTTGATTCCACCCCCCTCCCCACAGTCCCTGTCCACGGCCGTGGCTCTCCAGCACGGCCTGGCCTCCCCCCTCTTTGCCATCTGCTTCTGCTTCGGCTCCATCGTCATGTACGACGCCATGGGCGTGCGGCGACACGCCGGGCTGCAGGCCGAGGTGCTCAACGCGGTGGTGGCCGACCTGCTGGCCCACCACCCCGTCTCGGAGCGGCGCAAGCTGAAGGAGGTGCTGGGGCACACCCCCGCTCAGGTCGTGGCGGGGGCGGCGCTGGGCCTGGGCATCGGGCTGGTCCTGGGGAGCTGATTGATCCCGGGGGTGGACATGGTCCCCGACCCCCGACCAGATCCATGGCTGTGGGCGTCTCGCGGACATCCCTGCAGCGGCGCAGGCCCCTCTGCCCTGCCGGCCGGCATGGGTGGGTGGGGTCGTCCGCCGGCATCTGGCAAGCAGAGGCGCCTGCGGCGCAGGCTTGGCCCTGACGCATGCCTGCACACCATGTGCTGCGCGCATGCTCCATGGGGAGGGGCAGGCGGCGACCCACTTGCAGAGCGAGTGGCCTGTGGGCGCCTCGCCTGCACCGTCACCTTCCCTTGCACTTACCTTTTCTCCCTGGCCTCCGAACAATACCCTCCAAAACATCTCTTTTGAACTCCGGCGCGTGCCTGCCCTCTTGCAAACTGTACAGGCCTGATCAAGAATGGGACATATCCTTCTCGTGTTGGCGATGAGCAGGGGCCGAGGGAACACATCTAGGACTGCATCGCAGGTATCTCCCCCTTCCCGAGCGCTGCCGCCCGCCTACCAGACGGCCTTGAGGCCCAGCCGGCGCACGTCGGCCTCCACCCACGGCTCCCCCTCCTCCAGCGGCAGGCGGCTGGGAAGGCCCAGGCGGCCCGCCCCCCTGATCAGCGCCCTGTTCCCCGGCAGGGCCAGGGCCTGGTCGAACTCCACGCCGCCCTGTGTCAGCCTCAGGCCGGAGGGCACCGCGCTGTCGATGGAGACCAGGAGGCGCGCCGGCGGCTGCCAGGCCGTGCCCAGCGCGCGCAGCGGGCACTCGTAGCTCACGCGCACACCGGCGCCGGACTCGCCCAGCGCAAAGCGCTTTTGCAGCTTGATGGCGGGCTCCGGCAGCGCCTTCAGGGACAGCCAGTCCTGGAACTTGATACGGGCCTGCCCGGGGGGGTAGGATATTGTCAGGGGTCAAGAGCCGGCGATCACTGCTTCTTTGATTATGCTTCACTGCAGCCAATACCGTGCGCAGGGAGGCCGGTACCAATGCCCTGTTCCTGCACATCGATTCCTTGCGTCAAGCACAGGATGATCAGCCACCCCGTGACAAGGGCGTGACCACTACCCACACCCCCCGCCGCACCCTCCGCACCTTGGCCTGTACAGCAGCCGTATCGAATTCGAGCTGAGCGCCGACGCCCAGGTCGAAGCAGGGGGACGGCGCGCCGTCCGGGGCCCCCACCTTCCGAGTCAGGGGGTAGAAGGCGGGGCCAAACTGGACGTGGCGCATGACCTTCAACCGCGCCCCGCTGTCGTCAAAGGCCACCTCTGGGAATGTGATCTCCGCGCCCGGCTGCTGCTGTGGGATGATGAACTGGGAGCTGCCACGCCGACGTGCCCTGCGGAGCGGGATGGAGGGTGTGGGGTGGTATGGTGTGTGCACCTGCAGGCACGCTTCCGGCACAAGCGGCCAAGCCATTCTTCTCTACATTGCCAAGTGTATAGGAGCATACATCTTGTGGTCGTGTACCAGGCATGCAACCTCTGCTTTGCGTCGCAGGGCAGCATTCATTAGATTGGTTTCACGGCATGAATCGCACTTGATCCAAATCATTTCCCAGAGCCCACCTGACAGGGGTCCCTAAATAAGTTCTTGGTCCAGAGCCCACAGGATCCTGACGACGTAGTCGAAAGAGGGAAGGCCTGGCTGTGTCGTCCTTGGGCAAGCTGCACAGGGAGGGGAAGGGAGGGATGCAACATGGACCATGTTTCGCCGGCTTCAAATCATGCCAGTGCCTCTTCATCAGCCCCAGGACAAGTAAATGCCCTGTTTTCCATCCCTCCCTTCCAAATGCAACCTACATCTGTCTCTTGAGGTCCAGGGTCAAGGTTCCCAGGGTGCGCTGCCAGAGGCCCAGCAAGCCCTGCATGCGATCAAAGGCATTGCCGGCTCAGACATGGTTAGTCAGGCGCCCATGACCCTCAAGCAGCGCATGCTGGAACACATGCCATCATGAAAGCGTGCTCTCACCCCTGCTGGTGTGTCATACAGCCCCTGGAAGCCTCTGGCCCTGGGAGGCTGGAGGGAGTACTCAGGCCCCAGGCGTCCATTCGGTGGCACCGGCTCGGCACCCCACTCCCGCAGCGTCTGTCTGGGATTCGCCATCATGCAACTCAGCGGGAATTCTCTTTAATTGGTTTCTGATATGCAGAGATGCACGGTCTATTACACCCGGCCGATCGGATGTGATCCGTCCTGGCATGGATCTCCGCGCGCCTGGAGGAGAACCAGGCGCACGGCACGGGCTGGGCCTCGATCACGCACATAAGCCCATCTCCATCTTGAGCAGCCTGAGACTTAAGTTCAGCATGTCGCGTTACAAGAGCCTGGAGGTAGGAGGCTGAAATCGAGAAGGCTGTTTCTGTGCGGTGTTGCGGGGCCTAAAGCGGCGGTGTGTCCACCAAGTCTGAAATCCCTTCCCACCCAAATCCATTGCAGCTATTCAAGTTTGGCGTGTACGTTACTATTCCAGTCCTGCTAGTGGGAGCCATCGTCTATCGCCCTGAGAACCTGGAAGCCATCATCCGCAACGTGAGGCTTGTCTTGTCGATGCGTGGTGGACGATCGAGTCTGCATAGTGTAGTCCCGATGCTCAAATGGGCTTCCACTTCCGATCATGCAGCGATCGTACGTCGTCTACCCCCCGGAAGCGCCACGCCCCCCATCTGCTGAGCAGCTGCAGGAGGTGAGGCGGCATGAAGCAGTGGGACTGAGACTGGGGTTCGCACCAATGCGCACTTGCTTGACAGCCCCCCTAAACTATCCTTGCAGCTGCTGAAGAAGCAAAAGTAAGACCCACCCAGAGCTCCTCGTAATGGCTCCGAGCAAGACAAAGTGCCTGGTCACAGGGGGCAATGGCTTCCTGGGTCAGCACCTGGTCGCCCAGCTGGCTGACAGCGGCGAGTATGAGGTGACGGTCTTTGATATTCGCCCACCTGTCATCCCCTTCCCCGGGGTCAAGTACATCACCGGCGACCTGACAAAGGAGGTCGATGTGGACGCCGCATGCAAAGGTGGGCATGGAGGAGTTGTCCCGGCATGGCGTCGGAGGCCTGCACCTCCTGGGTGCATTCATGAGAGCATCGATGCAGGGACATCAGAGAAAGCATTGACATCCACTGTCCTCCCAAAACCACATACATGATAAACCTGCAGGCAAGAACGTGGTGTTCCACTGCGCCACGGCGGCCCCCACTGCCGCCAACGCCGCCAACCTGAAGCTGATGGACGCGGTGAACGTGCAGGGCACGCGCTCTGTCGTAGAGGCGTGCGCGCGCCATGGCGTCTCGCGCCTTGTCTACACCAGCTCCGCCTCCGTGGTCTTCGACGGCTCGCCGCTCGTCAAGGTGGACGAGTCGACGCCATACGCGGCCCGCCACATGGACTACTACACGGGCACCAAGGCCCAAGGTGGGCAGGGTTTTGTTATAGGGCGCGGTAGGGCCTGCGTCTCTGGTGGTGGGGCTGCCATGTCTGGCTCCTCGCACGGTGTCCCCGGGATGGCGGCGGGTGGCCTTGGACCTGGGCGCTCGGGGCGGTGCCTTCGATTCAGCTCACTTTCACTCCAACCCCCCTCAATGACCAGGCGAGGTGGCGGTGCTGGCAGCTAACGGGCGCGGCGGCCTGCGCACGCTGGCGCTGCGCCCCAGCGGCATCTTCGGCGAGCACGACACGCTCCTCGTGCCCAGCGTGGCCAGCAACGCGGCGCGCGGCAAGCTCAAGTACATCATCGGGTCTGGCCGGAACTGCATGGACTGGACCTATGCGGGCAACGTGGCGCAGGCCCACCTGGACGCCGCCGCCGCGCTGGGCGACGCGCGCCGCGTGGGGCGCGTGGCGGGCCGCGCTTTCTTCGTCACCAACGATGACCCGCGCCCCTTCTGGGGCTTCATGGGCGACCTGTGCGAGGGGCTGGGCTACCCGCGCCCCTCCGTCCGCCTCCCCTTCCACCTCGTCTTCTTCATTGCGCTGCTCATGCAATACGTCATTCTGCCCCTGCTGGCCCCCTTCAAGAAGATCGACTCCGACTTCACCCCCTTCCGGTGAGCCTGTCCAGGGATTGACTATGTGTTCTTTGTTGTACTGAGGGGGGGAAGGATGGGAATCCTTCACGCACGAGCAGCTAGGCGGTCCCAGTCGCACCGCAGTCTCGCAGTGTCAAGCCATGAATTGGAGCTCCCACTGCCCTCGGAGGCCCCTGGCCTGGCGCACTTTGTGCTGCCGTGCCTTTGATATCACCCCCACTTCCCTTGTCACCCACTCCCTTCCCCCTTCCCCTTGTCACCCACACTCCATATCCCCTCCCCTCCCTACACCCCAGCATCAAGCTGGCCAGCGTGGACAGAACCTTCAGCTGCGAGGCGGCCAAGCGGGAGCTGGGGTACCGCCCCGCCGTGTCGCTGGATGAGGGCCTGCGCCGCACCCTGGCCTCCTTCCAGCACCTGCGCCGGGGCGTGGGCGGGGCGCGGCCGAAGAGCACCTGAAGGGCGGGCTGCGAGCTGGAGGCCCAGGCACCCCCCACCGGGGCTCGGCCGACTGCGTTTCCCGGGGCTGGAGTCACGCATGCACGAGCCGCGCCGCGTGTTTGTTTGGGCGTCACCAGCCTTGTTGACAGCAGGGGACGCCAGTGCCGGGGCAGCAAAGGGCACGGGACAGGGGGAAAGGGCAAAGTTGGGGGTCGCGAAGGGGGGGGGGGGGGTGGAGCGCTGCGCCTTCCATACAAGCAGCGCAGTCCGCTCCCAGGGGACGCATGATTGCGCCACGAGGGAGTCAGGCCGTGATGCCGGAGGCCGCACGGTCAAAGGCCTCCTCTGCGGCGGCCCGCCGCTCCAGCAGGGCGTGGGATGGCGCCACATCCTTGAGCACCCTGCGAGTGGAAGGGGCGGTTCCTTCAGGCTCGCGGGCCCTCGGCGTGCGCCGTACAGGCCCGCACTCCGAAGGGCCTCCCCCTCCGGTCTGCACAGACGGGCGCGCAACCGCCCCTCTCCCCCCCCCACGCCGCCGTCCACCCTGCGCACCCGAGGTAGCGTCCGGCGGGCTTGCCAAGGTGCAGGGACACAACGGCCAGGTTGGCCAGCGAGTCCGGGTCCTTTGGGTTCTTTTCCACGGCCTGCAGCAGCTCCGCCTCGGCGTCCTCCCAGCGCCCCATGCACGCCTGCGCGCTGGCCAGGCCGGCGTGCAGGCGCGGCGTCCAGGCGAAGCGGTCGCCCAGCTCCTGGTAGATGCTGGCGGCCTCGCGCACGCGCGGCCCGCCCGCGGCCAGCGCCACCCACGCCCCCGCCAGCTGCGTCAGCGTCGCGTCGTCGTCGATGGCGGCCATGGCGCGGAGCTGGCGCTCCGCGGCGTCGGGGCGGTGCAGGGACAGCATGACCTGCACGCTCAGCGCCAGCAGCTCCAGCGTGCGGGCGGGGCCGGCCAGGCGCAGCGCCCCCGCGGCGTCGCCCCGCAGGAAGCGCACCAGCGCCGTGACGTAGAGGTAGGTGGGGTCGGAGGAGAGGGCCCCGTCCGACAGGCCAGCCTCCAAGGCGTCGGGGACCGGGGAGGAGGGGGAGGGGCCGGCCTTGTGGTAGGAGGCCAGCTGGCGGACCGCGGCGAGGGGGGGAGGGGCGTCGGCCGGGATCTCAGACAAAACCATCTGTGGGCGTGCGGTTGGGGGCGGCCGGCTGGGGTGGGGCTGCGAGAAGGGAGGGGAGGGGGGAGCGCATGGGAATGGAATGGCGGGCCCCCGCACCTCATAGCTGCCTAGCTCCACATAGGAGCGGTACACAAAGGTGTCCCGCTCCAGCTTCTGATCTTCGCTGAGGCCCGTGAGGGATGATGCATCGCTGATCGCGGTCTGGTAGGCTCCCAGGTAGAAGTTGTTACGGACGGAGAACAGGGGATCGGGGCTCGCCATTGCGCATACAGCCACGGATTCCGGGCAGCATACACCAGTATCAGGGTCTACTTGGCGTGCCGAGCCATCTTCATCACTCAGCGCAAATCGACATCTGAACTCCCGGGGGCCCCGGGGCCCTCGGCGCCTGGCGATCTGCTGCGGACGGTTCAGGCCAGAAGAAAGGGTGGGATCCTGTGGGAGAGGTACCTGCACTCAGCTTCGGCAAGTTGCATCCTGGGCCCTGCTACAGTCAGACAAAAAATCCCAAGGATCGTCATTAACATTATAGGGGGGCCGGGCCCTTGAAAGCGTCCGCTTTGACATGTCGATCCTTGTGCGCTCTTTCGAGTTCTGTCGAGTGCAGGCGCTGGCCAGGAGATCTGGGTAATGATGCCTGGTTCTGGACGCAGGTTCTCCCTATGTGACCCCCATCAACATCCCCAGGATGCTTAGTTGAGGCCGGAGAGTAGGGTCATGGGTCGGTACATGGTACGGACGCTGTGGTCGCCCTTACCACGATGCGGGGTGGTGCTGCAATGTCGATCGTGGTAATGGGCACAGGACGGCGCCCATGGGATCCGTCATGGCGTTGGTCGGTGCCGATGCCGCTTTACCACCCCTGTGTCCCGCTCATCCTGCAGACATGAACCCTGCGGAGGAGTCGGACGGCCGCGCGGGTCCCCCCACGGGCCTCGTATGGGACCCCTACAATGCCCAGGTCGTCCCTGCGGCGGCGGTCTTGGCCACTTCCTCCCAGAACGTGACGGTTCCATTCACGACCGATACCAATCCACGTTGCCAGGTGGGGCTGGCCTGCTCGCGGTGCCGGGAGGGCCTTGGAACGGGCCCATGGCGCCCAATTGCCCTGGACCCGTGGGTCCCCCGGGGTACCTGGCCCCCCTGCCCCCTGGCCCCTGACCACCCCCCTCATCACCCCACGCTCAGGTCGCGGGGTGCACCTCGTCCCTGGGCAGCATGGCTCGGTACGACGTGCGGTACAAGGTCTGCTCCACCCACCGCCGCGCCGAGGCGGTGACGCACGAGGGCGCCCTCCAGCGCTTCTGCCAGCAGCACGGCGTGTTCCACCCGCTGGAGGCTTTCGAGGGCACGCAGCGCTCCTGCCGCGAGGGCCTGGCGCGGCACAACTCCAAGCGGCGGGAGTCGCGCAAGGGCCGCGCCGTGTCCTCCCACGGGGGCTCGCGGCGGCAAGGGCGGCGGCGGCGCTCCAGCGCGACCCGACCCAGCTCTGAGGTGGGCAGGGCCGTCGGAGTGTGGATGGGTTTGGGAGTGGGGGCAATGACCACTTTCCCCATGTTTGGATGTGTGCGGAGCAGGTAAGGGGGGGTCCACAGGTGCTCCTGGGGAGGGCCCACCCCGCACCTCACATTGGCTCCCTACTGGACAGCGCCTGACACCCCGACCCGCGCCGCGGTGCCCCTGCCCTGCACACGCACACTGCCCTGAACCCCTGCTCCCCGGCGCTGCCCCCCTGCACGCAGGAATCCGAGGAGCTGCTGTCCTCGGGCACGGACCTGCCCCGCCGCGAGTCCCTGCGCCAGCAGCAGCGCCGGGCGCGGCAGGAGACGTCGGATAGCGGGGCTTACCTTGCGGGGCGGCAGTCCTCGGGGCTGAGCCCTGTCGAGGGCGGCGCCGGCGAGCCGGCCAGCTTCTGCAGCGACGAGCTGCTGGACCAGGGGCTGCCCTGGGACGAGCTGGAGGCGCCCCCCGGCCTGCCCCTCCCGGCCCTGGAGCTGGGGGATGCCTCCGCGGGCCCCGCATTGGCAGGCCAGGTCGCGCCCTCGCTCGGCCTCGTGGGCCCCTTCCACCAGGCGAGCCGGTGATGAGGGGGGACTGGAAAGGTGTTTGGACCCCACGCCCGACGCCCTGGCCTTGCCCGCCGTTGCCCACGCGCCTCTCAGCACCCCTGGCGGAGGTCGGCCCTCCCCTCCCCAGACTCCCCCCCAACCCCCTCCCCCTCTCAACCCACCCAGGCCGCTGGCTGGAGCCGGTTCGAGGACCCACGACCAGCACACCCCCTGCGCTCCGTGTCGGGGGACCCCTCCTCCCTCCCCTCCGTGTCGTCCTGGGGGTCGGAGCACCCCAGCGCCCCCTCCTCCTCCCAGGGCCAAAACCCCCGCTCCCCGCTGATCTCTGCAGCGGCGGTGGAGGCCGCCATGCCCGCCTCAGCCTTCGAGCCGGCGGCCGGGATCACGCGCCCCGCCGCCCCCCCGCCGGCGCTGGCAGGGCTGGACGAACTGCGCGCGGGCACGGCGTCGCCCTCCTCGCCCCTTTCGAGCCTGGGCCTGGTGCCGCTGGAGGGCGGGCCGGTGCTGGCGGGCCAGCCCGTGCCGACGCTGGGCGGCGACACGCTGTTGGCGCCGCTGCTGCAGAGCCTGCCCATGCTGACACCTGCCGGCAGCTCGCCACTGCCGCCGACGCTGCCGCCGCTGCCGCCGCCGCCGGGCCAGCCCGTGGCGGCGCCACTCCTCCCGAGCCAGACCGCGCCGGTGCCCACCAGCGGCGCGGCGCCGCCGCCGCTGCGCCTGGCGCAGAGTGCGCCCACTGCCCTGCTCACCCGTGCCTCCTTCAAGCTGTACGAGACGGGGCCGGAGGAGCTGCCGCGCGACATACGCTCCAGCCTGGAGCACATGATTCCCGCCCACGTGCTGGAGGGCTTCGTGCGCATGGGCTGCGTGCACGTGACCCTGGACTGCCTGGTGGACTGCGGCGCCACAGGGAGCCCGCCCAGCGGCCAGAGCCTGCTGCGCGGCCTGGCCGACCTGGCGGCGCGCCCGGGCTGGGCGGCCGTGCCGGCCATGCACGTGCAGGTCGGGGGCCTGCTGGCGCGTGCGGGGCGCGGCGTGCCGGACCCCGTCGTGCGCGACCTGGCGGGGGAGGGGGCGCCGCGTGTCGAGGCGGCCCGCCGCGCCCTGCCCCTCCCCGCCTCGAGGGCGGTGGAGCTGCGCCTGACGCTGCACGCCTGCGACCTGCGCCGCGACCGCCTGCTCCTCAGATCGCAGGGTGAGGCGACTGGCTATGTGTGTGCTGTGTGTGTGGGGGTGTGTGTGTTAGGGAAGGCTTGGCCCCTGAGTGGATATGTGCAGGGCTGGGAGACCTGCCTGGACGCTCGAAGGCCAATCCAAGGGTGCACCCTCCCCTTCTTCTCCGCCCCCCCCATGCACAGGGGTATATCTGGAGCACAAGCTGCTGAGCGTGACGCACGATGGCGGTGGTGGGGCCTGGCACCTCGTCGTAGAGGCGCGCCTGCCGTCGCCCATTAAGGCCGCCTGCATCCGCTGCGAGGTCCTAGCCGGAGACACCCTGTCTGAGCCCCTGGTGCGTTGTTATTCCTGAAGGTCGGGAGGGAGGCTGTGGATATTGCGCGCATCCCCAAGGTCTTCCGCGCTCACCCTTCCAATCCTACCCTCTTTTTCTTCACACAGTACTTGCTGGTGAGCGCGGACGAGGGCCTCGTGAAGTCCCTCCACGAGGTGTCCCGCGCCAACCCCAGCCCCACGGCACTCGACGGTCTGCTCTTCGCGCTGGGCCTGGCCGGCGGCCGGCTGCGCTCCCGTGAGGAGCGGCGGGCGGCGGGGGCCGCCGCTCGCCGCCTCGCCCTCCCCGCCCTGGTCGCCTGGAACCTCCACGCCGCCCTGCCCCTGGCGCTGAGGGGGGCCTGCGCCGACTGCCCGCCCAGCGAGCTGCTGGCGGCGGTGGACGATGACCTGGCGAGGGCCCACCCCCCGCACCGCCATGGCCCTGGCCCTGGGGTCCGGACCCGCCGCCGCCATCCGGCTTGCCAAGGCGCTGAGCGAGGCCGGTGTGTGGCCGCGGTGGGGGATGTGACTGGCATGCACGGCGAGCGGGCGATGCGGCGCGGCGTGTCGAGT